CAGAAGGGCGCCGAGGAAATAGAGCAGCGTCAACAGGCTCTCCCTGCCAGTTGACAGACCCCACTCGCAGGTCACCTGCATCAGAAACGCCAGAGTGCGTCGCCGTTTCCCGCGGATGAATGCTGCTCGTGATCGCTTTAGTGATCGGTATGGTTTACGATGAAGAGGGTGATGTTGATTTGTTATATACCTCGCAGTCATCACCCCCTAGCCCTCGCTAGGATGGTCAAGCAGAGGCAGGCGTTGCACAAATTTGAACGACGGTAAGCGTAGAAGAGCTCTCTTTACGCAGCATACAAGCTATTTTCGGTGGCAGTTTGGCAAATGTTCAGTGAAATGATGACACGGCAGTGACCGCGTATATTTGTGCATGCATGGTGTGTAGTACTGGTGCCCGGCTCAAAACCCTGTACCTGGTAGTCAGGGTTCGTAAAGTAGAGCAACCAGGGCACTGCTAATCACCAGGCAATCGGTATTACCCGGGTACTGCCATTACCCTGGGCTGGGTACGCACCCTTGTATAGGACCCGAGAATAAATTAGCCCCTCTGTCTTTTCCGTGAAGATCCCTTCTCCTTCCGCCGGCAAGGCCAACGTGGGGCAGGTTTTTAGAGTTTAGAGTGTCGAAACTAGAAAGGAACTTCACGGAAGACAGAGCGACCAATTTCATGCATGTCGGACAATACCCAAACGTCCCCCTCTCAGCGTTTGCTCGTTAGGGAAGACGCTATGTCGATTTTGCTACGCTTAGAGTCAAATTGACGACAAGGGGTGGGTGGGTGGGTCCAGACTTGTGACGCTAAGAGATTATGCAATTGGCATAAAACCGAAATAAGGAGGGAAGGTGCCCAAAAGCACCACTGAGAAATGGCAAAGAACCCGTGACATGTTCCTAAGGCTCCTGCAAATGTTCGATCAACAATGAAGTCCTTAGAATGGATCCATTTGCAGGCACTGAGGCTGCCCGCCTCACCCACAATGGCATTTAGAATCCAATTTTTAAACCCGCTAAAACAGCACAACTTTGATTGTTTTATTCCTTAAAAACATCTGGAAATTGAACACCACTGTTAGGTTATGCTGCTGAGTCATCCTGGCTTCGACATAAGGGTTGACGCTAGGGAGGGGTTTCTGAGCTTAACGTCAAATTTGACGCTAAGCGTACCAAAGCCGACATAGCGTCTTGCCTTACCCGCCCGCCTGGATCAGCCCAGTGCAGCCAATCTGGGATTTGACCGCCGTTTGGGTCTTATCACGCCAAGGCAGGCGTTGCAGCTGCCGCTGCATGCCGCAACTGCGCCGGTTCCCTGGGCAGCCCTGCGTTGGCGTCCACGCCATCCTCCACAGATCGAGGATCAGCGGCACCCCAGGGAGGGCAGAGCGGGACCCGTCCATGGAGTGGCGGTCCCGCTACTCGATCGATCGTTCGGGTTTAGCTTCCGGCCATCTTGAATGTGACTTCCAAGGCGCCGCTGCAAGGAAAATTGCGGGAGGCGTGGCAAACCGGTGGCCCTTCGATTTTGCTGGGGGAAGGCGTCGCGCGAAGAAAGCGTCGGTCGTGCCACACTGCAATCCTTCCACCACTGCAGCTGGCACTCCGATGGCGCACCGGCACGCATTCTCTTTGGTGATGCTTTTCTTGCATGCCTCAGTAGACTGAAAATACTGGCCCGATTTTGGCCTGCAATGTGGCACACTGCACAGTCTATGGGGACCTTGTCATCATCCGTTGGCATCATGAGGGACGCTCAGCTGAACCAATTACACCAAAATGAAAGCCGCTGGGCCTTGCCTAGGCAGTGGGACACGATTACAACATACCACATCGCTGTGTTGTGCACTTTCCTGTTGCTTTTGAGGACTTTCAAGTCAGATTTCATGAAGTATACTCTCACATACTGTTTGGCTCAATATTGGGTGCCCATTGTGCCTGATGTGCTTTCCTTTTGGTCCTTACCAATCTTTCATCCATCAACGTCTGGTCACACTTCGTCATGGCGTATTGTGGAAAGGGAAAAAATAAGTAACTGGAGTTCCCTTCAGTCAATTTCTGTGGTGAGGGTGTGTAGAGGTCTGGGAATTGGCCCCCAGAGATTCCCCTGGGACTCAGAAATTGTAGAAGTCACAAACATTCACGTTTGCTTCGGTTTGACTGGACGGTTGTGGGGCCATTTGGAATTACGCCGCCGAACCACGGAGACAAAACACAATTCGGAGAGCGTGCTCCTGGCCAAGCCATCCTTTCAAATATATCTGAAGCCAGCCCGCGCAAAGGATGCCCATGTAGTGACAGAAACCAGCGAAGCGAGTTTGCCGCCCTCTTGGGTAAGACCAGGCTCAAAATCCCGACGCGCTTTCCCGCCAACAAACTCACCAAGGGCGCCACCAGTGCCGCAGCACCCATCTTGGCCCCCTCCGCCGCGTACGACAGACCCATGGCCCACAGCAGCGAAGTCTGAAACCTGCCCATGCCAATGTCGTCGACCGCCTCCGACACCGTCAAGGTCCGACACCCTCCATCGCGCTCCGGCACGCGCCCCGACTCCGGGACCTCGCCCACATGCACGCTTCGCGGTTGGCCGTCATGCGTGTGACTTTCCGAATGGCCGTCATTTGACCCCCCCAGGAGCGGGACTCTCTCCTGGGGGAGGGTCTCGGGGTTTCCCGCCGACATGGCGCCTCCCGCCGCTTTTCCGAAACTGCGTGAGCCGCCCTGGGAGTTTGTCGCCGTTGTTCGACAAACTCGGGAGCTCTGGCAGGTGGTCTACGGTCAACATATACCCCGCAAGCTTGACGTTGCTCAGACTCCCTGTAACAGCATAGCGGTAATGCACGCCGGAACCTGCCTGTCCCCGGCCGGCCAAGTGTTCGGTCACTCAAAAGAGCTGGTGGGTTGGGCGCCTGTGCGGCACGGAATTGGGCACAAACAGGGTCGTCATGAATTTGGCAATCGCAGCGGCGTTGTGACGTCATCGCGCCCGTGTGCTGCTTACGCACGCACACCGTCGTCACTCTCCTTTCCCTACATCAGCGCTTCCCTTGCAATCAGCACCAACATACCAAGAGCACGGATGCAACAAGTGCGCCCTTGCGCTGTGGCACCATCCCCGCAACAAAAGCAACGGGGCCACTCCCATCAGAAGCCCCAAACACAGTGTTCAAATTGCGATCTGACACTGACTTGTTTTATTAGAAGCTGTACTGATGAATCGTATACTAAAGTTGTTTTAAACAAATTACCGCTGACAATGAGGGATAGCACCCCTCCGTGTTGAGCATTTCCGTTAATGTCTGTCATGTGGGGGGCGCTGTTCAGTGTACCTCCGCGTTATACAGCGTTCCTCCCGTGTTCCGCAGTACTTGCGGGGAAACGCCCCCTTTCCAAGCAACTTATGGAGCGCCGCTCCAACAGGATAATGACTAAATAACTCAACTGTGGTGTGTCATGCGGTTGCCCCACAAAGCCACCACCCCATCATGCCACCTTCGTCCGAAACGGTGTTGAAGTTTGTTGGCATGTCGTGCACGTCGGGACATCTTTCAAGTCAACTTGCCGATTCAAGAACACTCGCATCGCCACACAACCCATCTCATCGCCATGGGCTCACCACGGGCAACGGACCGACCATGCAGCTCGTCACGCGCCGCGAGAATCACCATAACATTACAAGCGACATTGCCCCATGCGAGCTCACATCCCGACCATGCCCCGCCAGCGATGCCGGCTCGCCCTTCCCACGCTCGAAACTCTCCATTTTCCTCTCATCCGAAATTGAGCGCGAAGCCCACACCTCAGTTTGCATGCGCTGCTGTCTGGACGGCCTCAAGACTGGCCTTGGGGCAACCCTGCGAGCTGCCCCACGCCTCAACGGCCATGGAAAATGCAATCAGACTCTGCAAAGTTCTTGATTTGGCATTATCTCCGATAGGGCTAAGATTCATCCCGAGGCTGTGCATGCAAAGCTTCTTCTTCCGCCCATCCGCCACGCCGGCAAAGATGTTACCGCCACTGCTGGGCGCAGAATGATTCATCCATATGGAGTTCAAGTTCATACTGGTACACGCAACTTTCCAGCTCTCTGCTACCATCGATCGGGGGGCAGCGGACCCCTCTGTTGCTGCTTGTAGCAGTCCGCCATGCTGCTCGGACGCAGACCACGCCAACCTGCTAACCCAGACAACGGGTGACAGCCAGCCGCCAAACGCGCCTGGGTGCCCACCAGCCAAGACAGTATTCTCCTCCCCTGGAGCCACAAATTCAAAGTCGAACATGCCAAGAGGATACTGGCTAGCCTGCCGCAACACACGAAACTTACACTTCTATTTCTCTCCAGCTTTCATGTGACCCTGCTGGATATCGCTGCTTTTTATTTGCTTCACAGACCCGGTCTAAAAAGAACGACATATGCAAAACAAAGCCTAGGCCTCGCCCACGCCTCGTGGCGCCTTGGAGGATCTGTTCTCCCACCTCCCATCACTGCCTTCCAAGTGTAGGAGCAGTCCTTTCCACGTTGTGACAGCTGAACTCAAACCACCCTCGCAATCAAACCAGCCTTTCAGGCAAGCCTGCCACCTGCTGAGTAACTTGTCGACACTAGCAACGCGGAACACACACAATTGACACAAAAGCTAGCAGAGCACTAGATTGTAACAAAAACTTAACAAAAAACAAACAAAAAACTAACAAAAAGCTACAAAAAAGAAAGGATTGTCCTGTGCAGTTTGTCCTGCCCCGGCCTCCTTTAGTCAAGCTGCCATGCGCTCACTCAAACGCCACCGGAATCCTCCACCTCCCGTACCTTCCCTCTCGGAAGCTGGGTGCAGACTGTGCGTCAGATGCCGGACAACAAACGCGACCAAACGCGACGAAATATGTGCCATTTGCCACCAGATTTTTCTCCCACAGGTTTTCTCCCACAGTTTTTTTTCTGCCGCCTTGGCTTCAGTTTCAGCCCGACAGCCGCAACGAGAGCTGCAGGGCGGCGCGCCCGGCGCGTCTGCTCAAACGGGCTGCCGCTCAAACTCCTCCTCCACCTCCTCGATCACGTCCTGCAGCGCCCTGCCGGCCGTGTCCTTGGGCAGCGTGGCCGCCGCCGCCGCGCCCACGCCGCAGCACGCGATCAGCACCCCCGCTGACGCCGGCAGCCCCCGCCGGTGCAGCAGTTCCTGGCCAATGGCCGGCGCAGCGAGGCTGGCCAGGCTGTTGAGCATGTTGCCGATGCCGGTGGCGGAGCTGCGCATCTCGGTGGGGTAGGCCTCGGGGGTGTACAGGATGATGAGGACCAGGATGGACTGCGCCAGGGCGCGGGCCACGAAGAGGGGCCAGGTGGCGCGGGAGATGGGGAGGGCCAGCATGGGCAGAATGCCCGCGGCGGCCACGCAGAAGAACGCCAGCATGGACCTGGGGGACCAGCAAACCTTTTGCCACCAGGCCAGAAGGTGAGAATGGCTATGCTCGCGAACAGCGGATGGGCAGGGAATGGTTAGAAAAAGATCTGCACGTGTGCAGCAAATGGTAAATAACGGATCCATGAGGGGGAGGGAATGACAGTGGGTGTGGTCGACGTTGATGGGCATTGGGGGGGGGGATTCTCATCCGATGGGATACTTTTAGCCGGCTTTCGGTTCAAGTGAACTTGAATAAACAGAAGTGCAATAAGCATTCCTGCATTTATACCTATGCGTGAACGTCGATCCCCAACGACGTCGCCATGACCATGGCATGTTGAATTGCGTCCAAGTGGATTGCTTTTGTCCAAGGAAAGAAAATGCGGCCGTTTGCCCTATGTTTTGCACTTCTGCGTGGCCCTGCAGGGTTAAGGGTGCCCTGCATGTTACACTGTGTTGTAGCTTGTGTCATTGCTGCAACAGAACGGTGGTAGTGGTTTTTGCTCTGTCATGGGGCTTGGCTGGACAACTTTCGGCTCCATAAGGAGGATGAGACCCGCATACAGAGAACATAAATGGAAACCCAGTTTGCACAACTGTTCAAGGGTATCTGAGCACGGGCCACAGGCACTGCACTTTCCATTGTTGATACTCCATGGCCTCTGATCAGGACAGGGACTCGCAGGCATCCACAACAGTATTAAGAGCCAAAAGCTGACAGTATACTCAAATCCTGGAACATGGGGTTGCAATCATGAAGAACGAACACACATTTTGGAAGCTGCTTCAAAGGCATAGCCGCCAGGGCACTAAGGGCTTAGATTAGATCATCATTGATCACTGGCAACCTGCAATCAAAGGAACTTGCAGCTTCACAAGTACAAGGAATGCATGAGCCCGAATTTGGATCCCCTCTGCAATCTAGATGCCACTGTCAACGACCAAATATAATGATGTGATATATCAGAACTAGATATGTCCATCGAATGTTACTTCCTCCATCCAGAATTAAATGAAACAGTTTGTTGACTGGCCCCATTTGTATCATATGTTTAGCATTTTTCTTTGAAATTTGGACCAGAGCACCCACTCTGTGTTTAGTCAATGCTGTCAAGAATTCATTGGCAGAAAATAAGATTCTTGCACTGGGTTGTACTTCCAAGCCACACGACTCAGACCCCAAATTCCAACGTTCCAAGCCCATCGGTGACCCTCCCGAACCCAGAATCCTGGATCCCAGGACACCCTAAGCATGAGTGGTACCCCTTTCGGTGGCCGTCGCAGTATCAGAAGAGTAGGGTTCCCTCGTTACTCAGGCTTTAGCCCAGAGATCGACACCATTCATGAACGAAGATCGGCAAGAGTGACAGCTAGGTGTGCCCGTCGCCATCAGTGTTCACTGGCAATCTGCGCCAGTGTCCACGGCGGCAGACCAACATTCCTGGGATTGGCCATTGCCAATAGATCTCCTAGTGTCTTAAGACTAGCTGTAGAATAGTGGTGTGCATCAAGCACTCTTTGCTCGGCACAGATCTCCAACTGATGGCTTGCCTGGCGCAATAAACACCACCACACAAGCAGGTATCAACCCCATCAAACACAAGGATGGAGGGTGTGGATGCTCAATCGGAGACCCCAAGTGTCTCTGTGGTACTGTTCTTGCATTTTCCGATGGCATCCACAAGAATCTGCCACAGCGGCATCTTTCAAAGGGGCATAAATGGTGCTCACAGCGCTCCAACACAGGCAGTTCTAGCTATCTTTGACTGCAATGCAGCGAGGTGACGATCAGATTCTTCTGAACTCTTCGTGGTGGTCTTAGCGCCTACAACAACTCTGCCCATGGGGCCAGCTGTTTCTAAAACGCCGTGAATGTGAAGTTGGCCGATTTGTGCGTTTCCGATCCAGAGCTGAAATCCTTGCTGGCCCGTGCAAACAACGGTCGCAATCGACGATCGAGCGCTGTGGAACTCGGTTCTGCAGTCTCTCCTCTTTGGGAGGAATGTCTCCAACATGCAGCCACGACGTTGGCTACAGATATCCACTTTGCACTATGCACCATCGGCCGCAAGGCGACCCAGTCACAGACCCCGTTTGGGGGGCCTGTTCAGCAAGACCTTGAGAAGATTCGAGTTCTTGATCGGAGTCAGAAGGGTATAAAGTACTGCCATGTGACCAGTACTTATCTGTTTTCCGTGAAAATTTGGCAGCTCCTGGAGAGTGCTCTACTCCAGTTTTGAAGGAAAGTCGGCAAGTGTGTGATACAAATGCGGCCTCTCAAGCAAACTGTTTCATTTAATTCTGGACAGAGGGAGTATAAACAAAGTAATAGTGCTTTGGGTACGTACATGCACATCATGGCCTGCAATGTGCTGAGCCACTGCATTGCCTTTTCAATCCAAATGCACCAAGACATACATAGGAATTAGGACTCCTAATTGTGATGCAATATTTCGGAACAGAGAGAAGGAATTAGTGCCCACCGTTTCCTCCCAGCCCACTCCACAAAGAAAATGGGAATGAAGTTGCCCAGCAGCTCTGAGGAGGAAACGATGAGCACATCGAGGTAGTCCTTGTTCGAAAATATGAAGATACCATCTTGGCACACGTTGTTCTGTTCGTCGGGCCCCACTGTGTGGATCTCGGTAGTCATGAGCACCAGGGAAAAGTACAAGGCACCCCCAACTGCCCATATCATCATCACCGCAGCAGTGGTAGCCCACAGGGGCCTGGAAACCATACTGATGCAATGCAAGCACATATTTTTGTCAATGCACAGGCATGTCAGCAAGGCAATAGAATACAACCAGGCCTGCATGTGTTTTATTGTTCACTTTCTCAAATCGACATAGTTCCTACAGAGAATCGTTTCAGTCAAGGTGGACAACAGTCTTGCTCCTTGGTAGTACTTAGAAGTACTTGGCTCTTGGTTGTGCATCGCAGTACTCTGTCGTAGCGTCGCCCAAACCGCATTCTGCACTTCTGCAGTTGTGCTCTCTCCACAGGCGATGCAAAGTGTGGGCCCACAAACCTACCGGCTAGTTTGGGGCTCTTTCCCCTGTATGGTGCAATTGCTGTCCCTGGAAGCATCTACCCAAAAAGCTGCATGCCACGTAATCTTGACTTCTGAACTGCTCTTCATTTTCCCTCTGCTGATGGTTTTCACCAAGATTCATTACATCTGCCCTTCTTTGTATGCACTGCTTCTGATTTTCCCACAGTGCTCCTCCCTTGCAGAAGGGAATAACCTGTATATTGAATGCAGGAGACCGCGCCGATGTTGGACTTCAGCCCTTCATCGCATGGTGTGCACCCGAGGTGCAATTGTAACAGAACAGTGTCGAAAGTATGGTGACTGAATGGCTGAATCCAATTTATACCTATTTGCAGTGCCTATACACAAGTTCTGGTAACTCTACAATTTGAAACAAGGACTGAAACTGTGTGAAATGGGCAATAAAGCGACAACGAGAAAGGACAACAAATATTCCTAACAGAATGCAAACACAATGATGCTTACAAAAGCAATGGTGACTGTGTCAAATTCTGCTAGTGACCGCTTGATCCGCTTGAAACGGTGTCAGTTGAATGCGTCAACTTATACCCCACCTCTCATCCTCCTGCAGCATCTCCTTCATCTTGAGAAGTACATTGTATTTGTTCGACTTGTTATGGTGTTGTGGGGGCACCAACAGCCGCCCCGATGGCATCTCAGCCCCATTCATCCATGCCACCCAACTCAGAGCTTTCCGTGCCTTTGCTGGCTCACCCATGACCACCAGGAAATGTGCCGATTCAGGAATCAGCGGCCAGAGTAGGAGAATGATCACTGCCAGCAAACTCCCAACCATTAGTGTTGCTGTGCCCAGCAACCGATCAGCACCCACCGCACGCACACAACATCGACCAACAGATTAAATGGGCCTTTATGTCCAAGAAGTTAGCTCTTCAGTAGTCTGTGTTCTGAGGTTTGGGTGCACAAGGTACAACTGAGCTTTTACCTTTCAGTAGGAAGGCTGGGATTCAAGCGAAACAGCCACAGGAATGTGCGGATGCCTGGAAGGGCACTGCGTTTTGTCATGTTGCCGGCAACTAAAATGACTGAAGACTGCTCTCTGTCCGTATGTGAGTCGGGCCGCCTATGCAGAGGCAGTGCGCCCACCTGTCCGTTGCCCACCTTGGACAATGCTGGCCTCATTCAGATAAAGATATTCAAGGTAGCATAGAAATTTGTGGAGCTCTAAGACCAGAACAGAAACACAACAAATTCTACTGCTCATGTTCCATGTATGTACTCCGACTGACAACAACAACACCTTACACTCCCATCAGATGCACACTCCAGTGCAGAAGCAAGTGCAGCGACTTCTGGCCAGACTCACGGTATGGTATGTTGATGAAGGCCAAGAAAAAACGCCAGCCCTTCCATGGCATGACTGTCCAGGCGCAGACAGCCGTCAGCAAAATCCCGATGCCCCAGAATATGTTCACAGCCACACACCACAGGCCACGATGATTGCCAGGAAGGTACTCGACCAGGAAGGTCTCCCCCAAGATGTTGCTGAACGCTGTGAAACCCAGGCCCGTGAGGAATGTGGTCAGCAACTGCGAAACAGGCAGCGAGTCAGCAGGGTGGGAGCATGCACCCATTGCATTCTGTAGTCTTTTTGCACCATTTTTTGCAAATTTTGCTGTAAGTGCTGACTTTGGGGTTTGTGCTTTGCTATGATCGCTCATCGCAAAGTTTCCATGAGGTTAAGATGGTAGAGCAGGTATCTTACTTATGAAGCGTTCAAGCACCACGTGCTTTTGGAGAACGACCTGTATGCAAGCAACACAATGTCGCAAATGAAGGACTTCATAGATCAAGCGTGCTTTGAGAGCATGAATTCTATCTTGCACAGCTGTCGCCTATGCCTGGGTGCAGCTGTGGGTCAGAGTGTTCCAGGCACTGACCTGCCCAATACCAGGTGCCATTTCCATCCCAACAAAGGACATGTGGCCATTTTGTAACCTTGCAGGAAAGCCCATAGTGGCATTAAACGCAAAGGATCACAGTTTTGTGCTGCTCTCGACTGCAATCCATGGAGGTAGGCACTACTGCGCATACCGTCAGCTCTGGCATGCAGGCAGCCAGAAGACTCGAGAGGACGCCGACCAAGCAGACTCCAAAGAACGCAAATTTCCGGCCTGCCAAGTCTGACAGTGTTCCCCAGGCATATGATCCAAAGATCATGCCAGCAAAATTTAGCGTTGTTATCAAGCTCTGCTCCTTCTCACTCAATCCCAGCTCGCACTTGATCTGCAAGTCGCCACACAACACAGCCACATTCACCATCATTTGATAAATCACGAGCTGTGTTTTTGTGTCAGGTTCCACTTAATTGAAACAATAGATTGATGCAGCGCATGGATATTTTCTGCTCTTGTTGAAGAAATTCTTTAGAGTATATTATCAGGGTGCAAATCAAGTGTGAATCTGGTGAGCGTTCCACTGTCTGGCAAACCACCTGAAGTTCTCCCAACACCACGCACATGGCAGCAATTCCGTTGCTGAAGACGCCAGCAGATATGTTCGGCTTGCTGTGTCTGCTGGTGTGCATTGCAAGGCTCCTTGCTTTGCCACATTGTTTCAAGTGAGACACATGTTCATGATTAATCAACACCAACTATTTGATCAGATGATATTGTCTTAGTCAGTCTTCTTCACACGTGCAGCAGGCTGTCGGCGCCAAGGCAAATCTGGTTGAGCTAAGCGAAGTTTCGCGGTGCTCACGTGAGATTGTAAGGAGCGACCATGCATCACAGATCCCGCAGGATGCCAGGGGGATCCGACCACCGAGTCGCATGACTGCAAACGGTATGGACATCTGACACCAACACCAACACAAAAATCTACCGCTGATGGCAAGCACTGGAGGTGTTGGTTGTGGTGGGTGGGAGCATGACACCTTGCAGAGCTGGCACTCTGGGCAATCTGATTAACATCAGCAAGGACATCACGCACGGCCACAAACGAATGCGTTGGAAAGATTTTGGTGCATGGCATCACGCTCGTCAACACTGCAAGGTGCAAGGTCATTGTTCTTAACGTTGTTCTGCCAATGCAAGCAATTGCCACCAATTTGGGACAGACGCAATCAACGCGATTCGTGCAACAGCCGCATCGACCAAGCATTCTTTCGGACCTGAACAACTTTGGCAGTTTTGCGACGCCGTGCACCTCTTGCCAGGCGGCACAAGGCCAACTTATCTTGGGATAAGACGGGGGAGGCGCTTGGACACTTAGTGTGACGCAGCAATCTGGAATCCAAAAGAAAGCCAGCCTCGAACAATACTGCCGAGTGCGATAAATGTCACTTGGCCACAACGCCACTGACCCGCCCCATTCTGGTTGACCGTGGCGAACGACTGGGCAAGATTTGTTACACAAAAGAAAGGGAAACAGGTCATACAAAGAGCACCCCCTCCTAAGCACGTGTATGCGGGCTCTTTTCCATGCGGTGCAAGATGATATTAAGCCACTGACGACTGCGGTGTCCCAGAAACCCGGTTGGCGGATGTTCGGAAATGGGTGCAAGTGGCCAGGACCTGCGTGTGCGGGCCTTGGGGCGACGTCTGCACGCACAAGGGCAACATTCACCCTTGTACGGGCAGGGTTCGATGTTTTTGCTGCCCCATCGTGCCCCCAAGACGATCGACACTGAAAATACATTAGTCCCTCTGTCTTTTCCGTCACTCCCCCCGCCCTCTTCCGCTGACAAGGCCAATGTGGGTCAGTGGGTCAGGGCTTTTAGGGTGAGGGTGTCGGAACAAGAAGGGATCTTCAAGCGACTAATTTCACCCCATCAACCGTCATTAGGCGCATTCATGCGCCCCCGATCGCCCGGGCGCGCTGGCCGATCGTGGCCCAGCGCGCGCGACCGGCCGTCCCCGAACGGCGCCTCGACACCGAGGCCGCCGCCGCCAAGCGCCTGCGGCCTCGCCCCGCCCCCGCTACGCCGAATCCCATCCCTCCACCCGTCGCGACAGCCACCGCCGCGGTCGATCCCATTGCCAATCCATCCCGCCGATTACCCCAACGCGCGCGGCACGGCCACAAATACATAACCAGGAAAACAGTATGTTTGCCCGCAACGCGGGGGCGGGAGGAGGAGGCGGGGTGGGGGGTTGGTGGGTGGGTGCGTGGGTGTTGACTCGATGGATCCCATTGCCGATCTATTCCGCCCACGACCCCAATGCCACGCAGCACGGCCACGGAAACAAAAACAGGAAAAAGATTTGCCCACAACACAGGCAGGGGAGCAGGTGTGGGAGGTGCGGGGCGCGGGTGCGTTCACGACTGTCCCTTTCGATGCACACGTGAAGCGCCGCCGGGCCGCTCACCACGGGCCCCACAAACGCCACCACCGTCTGCTTGGCCGCCTCGCCCATGAACGCCATCCCCACCAGCACGAACATCACCGCCTGGAAGCGCCCCACGCCAATCGCATCTATGGCGCCGTCCACCGTGTAAACCCCCCCGCCTCTCGTCGCCCCCGCCGCCGCGCCGCCGGGCGCGTCGGAACCGGATCCAGCAGATTCGGTCCGCCACCCGGCGCCGGGCCCCAGCAGGGGCTCCCGGCCGTCCCCGGCAGGCTTGGACGCGACCATCTGGGACAAACAGCTCCACGCAGGAGGCCAGGGGGGGGTCCGGTGGGGGGGCCCAGGAGACCTGTGGCGGAAGGGGGTGAGAGAACGCGGCACTGGCAGCACATCAGCGGCGCTGCTGGGCGGGAAGGTGGTGTGTTCAGCATCAGAGTACTACGGCGTCGGTCTCAAACCACTACAGGGCCCGTCTCAAAGTACTAGTCACTCGGGGTGGGATCGCTTGTGGCCTCGCGTTGGGAGCGATCAGGGCCGCAAAGTACTACTCAGCCGGAGGGGTTGTTCTAGGCCTCGCGTTTGGGAAAGATTCCGGGTTGAAATCGGGGGCCGAATTTGCGACAGGCCTGTGCGCCCTTGGGGCTTCGGCGGCGGGGCGTCGCCGCCCGTTAGATGCCGTGTGGGCGCCCTAATCATTGAGTCATTGCATGCCCGCTGGATCAGCATGGGTGTTGTTGGGTGAAAGGGTACATAAGGGGTTGTTGGACCACCCTCTTAATTTCCCCTGGCCAGGTGGTGGCACCCAGTTAGTCGCTCTGTCTTTGCCGCGAAGATCCCTTGTTGTTCCAGACACCCCAAACCCGAAACCGCTGACCGGGCCTTGGCCTTGTCAGCGGAAGAAGAAGGATCTTCACAGACAGAGGGACTCATACAATCTCCAAGGTGGTTTGGTAGAGCAGCGGGGCATCTCATTCTGAGGTACCTAGTTCGATCCCCAGTCAGACATCCTCTTTACCATCCTCACCAAAACAGATGTCGGGGCTGAGCGCAGCGGCGATGGGAGATTAGTAACCCGAGTGTGCGGTGGCGACTGCAGGGCTGAAAGAGGGCAAGGGTCAGCGCCATTTTATTTTCTTCATCACCAGTTCGTTCTGCCCTTCACTGCCCGCCTTCGGCCATCGTCCAAAACTGCACGGCAGGCGGGTCGGCATACAGTTACTGGCTGCATCAAATCGGTGAGTATCTGCACTAAATCGGCGACTGCTTGCACAAACTCCCTCCAAAACTTACCTAACCTAAAACATAAGCCAAAACCCTAAGCCCTCAAACTAACCCACCCTAACCCTAATCCCAACCCTAAAACTGAGGTTAGGATATAGTGTGCACGTGATTTAGTGCAAGCAGTGACCGACTTGGTGCAGGCAGTAATAATATTTCAGGCGGCTCCGCGTTGGGCGCGCCCAGTATCCTGCAAGGCTCGGATCAACTTGCACCGTGCGCAGGCGGACGCAACCGCCAACTCTGGCCAGTCGACCACTGCCGCCGCTGCACAACACCTGCAACTGAACCCTGGCGAATGACCATCACTCGTTCCCGGTTAAAACAGGGTGCTGTAGGCCGCTTCTTACCTGCATATACCAAGGCAAGAAGCAACACCTACCTGAGCAATATTTTCCGAATGACCGCATGAGCATCTGCGAAACCTCAGTCAACTCGTCAATTCCAAGGAAGTTCTCAACAATTACAATCAAATGGCGTGCTGCCCGCATCTCTCCTTTAGCTCTCCGCGACCACCCAGCCCCTTCCAAAATTGCTGCGCGCCCCACTCCAGCGCACGCCGCGACGCCCCTCCAGGCGGCAACAGAAAAAACAGACGCCTCCTCCGGCCGCAAAAAGTGCAACTAAGCGCCCCCAAGGCGGGCGGTCGTACATCAAACCCGCCACTGCACCAAACCTGACACTCACTGTCGCTCCTGCGCTGACCTAGATCACCATTTTCGCCCTAATTAGGGGCTCTCTCCAGGAACGCGTTGTTCTCGGCCGACGCGGATCGTCAGCTCGTTGGTGCTGACGGCCTTCTTCGGTTTCGACTTCCGCAGGCAGCCGCACGTCAGCAGCGCCCGGGCCTGGGGGCCCCCGAGGATGAGGAACCCCGCAGCGCCGGATACCATCCACACCAGGTGCCACTGCTCGTCCAGCATGAAGACGGTCATGGTGGCCGCCATCTGCCACAGCTGCGGGGGAAACGGCAACGGTGTGAGAAAGTGGCGCGAAGACAAGACAAGGCACCAGCCGACAGTGAGTTTGCTTTCCCTGCTTCAATATGTGACGGTAAGTGTTGGAATACACAGGTTTCAGGGGCATTTGTACACTCCACGCTATCGCGCCCCTGCAATTTGACAAAACGCTGCTGGTGCTGTTGGCGCGCACATCTGGCATGTTTGCCAGACACTGCCTGTAGATGAACAATGGCAATGAAAACGGACAACACCAATGCAACAAAACATGACAACTATATAACGCAGACAACGGCTGCATGAAACAACAGCGCCATCAAGCCCTGCCAGCGGCCCTAACATACACCCACAGGATGCGACGGCCCTGGGCGTGTGGCGAAAGTCGTCACATTGTCCCATGCGGGTTCCGTAGTTAAGCACCCACAGTTCCGGGTTCCCACAACCTCCCTCAAGTTTGCCCGAAATGACAGCTCTCGTTGGGTTTGTCTTTGGCTGGACAGACTTCCAGATGGTACACAGGCGGCATCTGGCGCTCACAGCCACCCCACCCCACCTGCATGGGCGCCCCGAACTTGACGAAGTCCCTGATGGTGTACCCGCCCGAGGCGTACACCATCAGGTTCGTCTGGTACCCGAACGGCGACATGAACGCCGCGGAGGCCGCCATCATCAGCAGCGCCGACATCCGCCCGGGGTCGATCTCCTGCTGCGCCGCGATGTCCGAAGCTATGGGGAACATCAGCGCCGCGACGGCGTTGTTGGCCACCAGGTTGGAGAGCAGCATTGTTGCCAGGTAGACGGCCAGCATCACGGGGAAGTCGCCGCCGACCGCCTTGCCGCCGGACACGAGGCTGTCGGCGATCTCCTTGGCCATGCCGCTGTTCTCCATGGCCGCGGAGATGCCGAAGGCCGCCGCGATGGTGGTGACGACGTCCCACTTGACGGAGGCACGCGCCGCCTCGCCGGAGAGGCACTGGAAGGCCAGCATGAGGGCGGCCGCGAACAGCGCGGCGGTGATCAGGGAGACGTCGAACCAGGGCCAGACAATGCCCACCAGCTGCGTGAGGACCATGGCGGCCAGGGCGGTCAGGGAGACCACGACGCGGTCGAACCTGGGGGGCGGGCAGGAGTGGATTGGGGCGCGTTGCGGATGCATCAGAGAAACCGAAGCAGCTGAGGCAACTGAGAAAAGAGAAACTGGGACAAAGCTAATGCAGCAACACGCAGTAATATGCAGCACAGTATGGACATAAGAAACACATAAATGCATGCAAGACACATGCATAAAACATACATCAAAACGCAGGAAAAACGTCCAGAACACGTTCCCATGCATTTAAAATACACTAAAATGCCCAAAAACATTGGAACCTGATGAGTTCACACAACCTGCCATACATCGCACAGGAACATCAGCAGTATGTACTGGTGTATTGCCCCTGCATACTGACGTGCACCTATCTCTTGCTCATCGAGTCGTGTATGCCGAAGTCGACACACTGCTGTCCTGCAACCCACACCATGTGAAACAGCAGCTAGTCCACTGCTTCGGCTTGAACAGTTGCACATTAATGTGACCTTGAAGACCAGCCGTGTTGCCACTTGTGCAACTCTCTGTTGTGTGATTCCCCTGCTGCAATCAGAGACTTCTGTACCACCTTCTGTGCATGGAGTTGAGCCCCGCACCGCCTCTTTTGACACAAGCATTCAAGGGATCCGATTTTGCATCGCCTTCACAGAGTCGGACATTTGTTCAAATATTTGACCAGATGGCAGTCATGCGTCCACTGCTGGATAGGCGTCCTTCCTCTGGGGCTACAGCTGCTGCATCCCGGATTGTTGAGAATACTTGCACACATGAACTGAGATGACGAGAATCAACCCTCAAGGCTACACATTGAAACACTGAGCCATGAGCATATGGACTGCACTCAGTGTTGTGTGCGTGTTCACTGGCGAACCTCGCACACACTGTGCGCATTGTGCAGCATACCAATGCTCGCAACCATGCGATCGAGCCAGTCACCTGGGAGGGGTGCTGTTTTCCACTTCCGACACAAGGGCGAAGTTCCTGTTGTTCTTGTTGTCCCTCACGAATGCAGCGCCCGTGTCCAGAAGCAACACGTCGCCACCCTTCAGCGTGATGTCCCCGATCTTCTGCCTCAGCCTCTGCCCTTGGCGGTGGACGCCTATGATGGCCGCATGGTACCTCGTCCTGAAGCGGATCTGCCGGATGGTGCTTCCGACCATGCTGCTCAGCGGCGAGATGACGGCCTGGACCAGCCGCCTGTCCAGTCGGCTCTGCGTCAGCTTCTCAACCTGGTCACCGTAGGGGGCGAGCCCTGCACAGCACAACTCGAGTTCGTCAAGTTGTTTGATCATATCAAACAATTGATTTAGTTCTAAGGTTATTTTCCTGAAGGCAAAAAACACATTTTGTGCAACAGAGGCCCCCCCTGCTGGGCAAGATGGTGGATGGTGAGAAATGAACAGCTCAGCAAATCAGACTGCTTTCATATGGCATTCACTCAGTGCTCCTGTCCTTTGTTGAATCGCAAAGTTTCTAGCAAAAGCAGCAAGCTCTTGGGTGACCAGGGCATCTCCAGCCCACAGTTCAAACAAACAACAGGTCTGCAGTTTCAGCCAAAGCCTGCAGCGCACCTGTAAGTTATAGAGTTGAAGAATTGATACAAGCAGATTAAACGCCATAAATTAATAAATGACATACTGTGAAAGATGATGCAGAAGTCCATGAACGATGTGCAGCGAAATCACAAATGAATGGCGATCTGTTGAAATGCGAACAACAGCATGCACAAGTGGCGCAGCACAATTGAACTGACTTGAATGCATCCTCGTATGCAACGTGTTCAAATCACTGTTCAAGCTGTGGTTAATTGATGCAAAGTGGTCGAGCAATACTTGACACCAAAACTGCTGTCCAACTCTATACACAGCCCACCCTCGTTCAGGCTGGCAACACCGGATGGTCGTCTGTCATTTCGAAAGACACAGCTCTGCAGATAAGCCAACTTACTGCAGCCATGGTGGCCCCACCCATGCAACCAGCACAGATGCACACAAGTCTGTACACCCAAGTTGATATGCATCACATGAACAAAGAGCGAACGCACGATTGAACAAAAAAAGATAATGAGCAGAAAGCAGATCCCATTCCGCACGTTGATACACAAGATGTGCGTGCACGAATGCCAGGCAAAGGGGAGATGGGCATTCTCGCATAAAGCGACTCAGCATCCTGGACACACCTGGGATCTTTCGAAGTGAAGCCACGCTTTCAAGCACTCCAGCAAACCACAGGATGTCATCATCCTGCAGCTTCTCATCTGGCGGCACTGCCGGGATCCGTCGTCCACTGGTCCTCTCAATCTCCACAAGGAATAGCTGGGGAAGCCCTCTCAGGCCCGCCTTCTCAACTGTCTTGCCAACGAGCTGCAGATCAGGTGGTGCACCTCAGTTTGACTCAGCTCAAGGTGTTCAGTAATCAGTTGCCAATAACATTCTTGCCTGCAGCTCGTCCATTGCAGTGTGCCAATATTCTGAAATGGCAGTTGTGCACACACATACGGTGGTGTGAATAATTCTCAGAATACAAGAGGGACAGGGACTGCATTTAAGACAATGAAGCTTGGGTTGACAGATATACGTGATGTACACCGGCACTGCAGCACATGCAGTGGGCAGCCTACACTGTCCTACAGCTGGCATCGCTACTCAGGCACGATACATGACACCACAACTGCCAATGTTGCATACAGGGATACAGCACTCTGTCCACACACTTCGGCTCATTGTTCTGTGCTCTTTCGTTCGTGCCAAGGAAATTACAAATCATCTTTGCAAGATGAGGAAGAGTTTCAATACTCCTAGTGAAGATGGGGAAGCCCTCTACAACAGTCGATCTTTATCTTCTGTTCAGAATCGGTCACATCAACCCACCGGGCCACCCTTCAACACAGTCATGGCGACCATAAACTCCTTGTCAGATTTAGAACCTGCGCTCTTGACGTCAGCCAGGTTGTCTTCCACATCCTTTGAAGTGTCATCAAATTCCTGTTCACACAAAACATCACCACTGACACTGTCGCTAGCTGCTTGGGGCCAACCATGTCCATAACTTTGTGGGTCTATGAACCTCACAGGCACATAGAATGCCAAGCAGTATGCAATAGCAGCAGGCCACACAAGATGTGCACAACCTTCTCCACTAAGAGGTGCATGGACATGCTTCCTGCAACTTAATATGCTTCCAGACCCCACAATGTGGCACCAAATTCAAGACAACAACACATACAAGAATCCCAGAGACCTGCAGCCAGCATCGGTGCCCTGAATGCAGCCCGCTGCGCAGACGGTGGCTCAGAATGGCCCCTGAGCATGGCGAATTGCTATCCCCACTATGAAGCAAAGAAGCAAGGTGTGCCCACGCGCTTCTGTATGCAGGTCGGAGAACGCTGATGAGACGCTAAGCAGGATGCCAGCACCTCCCAGAAGGTGAGATCGACAAAATCGCCTGTCCCTGGGCCACCATGAGACCTGCCCGACATCTGCTTTGACATGCCCGTGTTTGAGGGGGCCCATCTCCCTCGGGACTTAGTCGACTGACCCAGCAATTCGATGGGTCAAACTCTGAGAGCCAATGGAGTTGTTTCGATGGGTTTTCCAAGCCCACAAATCATATCTGCAATTCTTTTCGACACAGAGAAAGTATGTCTTATGCATGCTGACTCGACACTTGACACCTGACACCATGCGACACCCGACTTTATCGAGCACTGATGGCACACCAGGACAGGCGAACCATGAATAGGGATGGCTCCTGCTGTCAAGGATGCATCATTCCATGCCCGGACATGAAGCATCGCCTATTGTGCCAAACTGCACTGCCTTGTGCTCAGAGCAGGCTGCACAGTCTGCCATGAATGCCCATTTAACCTTGCAGCCCCCATCCTGGGCGCTCAGGCACCCACCCAACAACCTCAACCTCACCCACTGCCTCGCTGCCTTGAATGGATCTTACACACTGAGGCAACCATGAAGCCCCAAAACCCATCTACTGTAAAATATTAAACCCTTCCGCACAGTGACTAATGCTTGGCCCTTTTTGCAGAGAAAATAACATAAATAAGAATGCCAATCTTGGCCTTTCTGTGCAGAGCATCGTAAAAAATGCAAAATAATGCTCTGGAAAACAAAATGCAGAGCAAAAAGTGTAATGGTGAAATTTTCTGATGCGGAAGGGTTGAATATTTTACAATAGTTGCAATTGAGGGGAACGCATGCAACAAACCAGGCTGCATCCACAGTCTGTTGGTGCAACACAGCTGTGCGTTCGCTGGGAATAAACAATCTGTCCCAGAGGTGCCTTACATCACCAGAAGCGGTGCTTTGGCACAGGCTAGCCAATGAAACTTAGAAGGCACTTGAAAAGTTGTTGAGTGATGGTTTAAAAGTCAGTTTAACAGCTGGCTTGACCAAGCGATTCGCTAAACGACCTCTCTACCAGCAGCAAGTGTCACAGTAATTGCCGCCAGCTGTTTCGAAACGGCATTGTCTACACCACACAAGGCATGATAGAAGAATTCGACTTCATAGATGTGGCTGAGGATGGGGATGAGATAATTTGAAAGATGAACAACTGCAAACTGAAGTTTCTAAAAATCTGTAAAACTAACCGCAAAACTAGGAAAATATGAAAGTCAAAACTCTGAAAGTACCACACTGTGATGCGTTTCCTTTGTGTCACAAAAACAACCTGTGATGGACGAAACAGGTACATTTGTCAGGTGATGTTGACAAAATGCAATCAATGGAGTCGCAACACACAGTCGAGTCATGCACCCACAATGGGCATTCTGTGAGTTCCAAGATGAGAGTGTGCCCCCACCTGGCCGCCATTCATGATGATGCGATCCTTAGCTTGCAGCACGACGTCACCCAGGCGGCCTGGAACCTTCGTACCATCACGTGTGACTGCAACGATTGCCTGGGCAACATGGCAAGCGCAGAGTCGGAGAATTCCGAGGTTGACAAACCGATGGATACCAGCTGACTGGAGGACAATGGGTCAGCAACTTGACCAGCTCCTGGGAAAAATGCCGGGTGCAAGGTGACCAGATTTGTAAAGGTGGATGAACACATGACAAGAGACTCCACAATCTCAGAAAGACTCTTGTCACTCACGCCTGTCTGTTTGGCTAACATGCCATGTTCTTCCCTTTCGACTTGCAGAGAACTTTACGGACCATGCTTGGGTGCGAGTTAAGGAACTCAATCTGTTGCCAGTGCCCAATCTCGGGCATGCTAGTGTGGACTGGTGGTCTTCTCCAGTATCAATTCTGCTACTGCTACATTATTCTGTGCCAAATGCATCACTTTCAGAATCTTCACATCGTCCAATGTGGCTCCAGATCGCCTGGTAAAGAAGGCGTTGATAGTGCAGTAATCGATGCAATTGCCAACGATACATATGTGCGGTATGTTCTGCTGTGGTCTCTGTCTTGTAATAGAAGTCTAGTGGCTAGTGTACCTTGACACCCAAGGACGACCACTAAAGAACCTGCAGTATCAGCTAAACACTACTTCTGAAGTACAAAATTAGCGTGCTGTTCCCTGCCAAGCACAAGATGAACCCTTGTTCATACAGGCATCCAGTTACAAAGCATTAACTTCTGCCAATGATTAGGACACAATGAAGGGGCATCAGCAATGTTTCTGCACCAATGGCACAGTCTGTACAGATGACCACAAGGGCTCAGGCACACACACTCACAAGCTGTGCTACCCTGGAACAGGTTGCCAAGAGACCCCTGTGGTTAGAAGGCATCAATGCACAGAAATGGAAGATGTCAACAACTCAGCTCTGCCAGCAGTGTCGAAATAAACAGCAAATCTTGGAAAACACCAGGTTCTTTGCTTCATTCTGGATTCACATCTTGGGATGTTCTTTGACACCCAGATACCGGTCACACATAAGAGCACACCTCTTGGTAAGAATATTGCTTTTGCTTCATGTGCCATTGCCTGAGTTATTTGTTTTGGGCCCAATGCGCCACCTGTGACTGTTCATTGAGATTGATGAACGCCAGGCACTCATGACAAAGCTCACCGCGTTGAAACGCCTTCGAAAACCAATGTCTTTAATGCTTTGCCCAATGATAGTTGCATCATCCTTGATCGTGGCCTCAAGGAGTCGCCCCATTGGCTCCACACTGATGCGTTCAAGCGATGGGGATGGTCGCAGGCCTTGCGGAGTCTGCCAAATACGGATGCAGCAATAGCGGTCACAAACACATGGCATCCCTTCATATGGTTTCAATTTTGGTGATGTACAAAATTCGAAAGTTGCACTGTCAACTGCAACATGCTTGACATAGTGCTTCATTGTCAATATCAAGATAATCTTCCGCAAGCACTGCTCACAGAGCGGACAAGGCTCCCACCTTAAGATTGCAACTGTTGGGCTGTGAATGGAGAGCACAAGTTGAAGGCAAATTTGTGGTTTAAAATCGAATTATGGTCACAGATTTCTAACACAGCAGGGCCCACACCATTGACACATTATGCCACCATGTGGCACACGTGAATTACCCTCAGTGGCTCATGAAGATGGCTGTCGACAGTGGAAATAGACTCACTGTGTCTTGGAGATCTGCAGCAACACAACTGTCAGGCATGTCCACCTTGCCAAATGAGACCATGGCAAAAAATGAGATAAATCGGCAAATAACGTCTTGGCTTCATCGACGCTTCAATGCAACAATTCCATGGGCTATTTGATTGCCAAGCCCAGTCCATTGTGGCACCACTCGTTGCGTCAACTTCAGGAGCAAATGATTGTCATCTGCAGCCATCGAGCACCAGCCCAGATTCACCAAGTTTTCCAGGAGATCAAGGACTGTGCATCAGGCATTTACTCAGGCATCTGGTAGGTGTTGCAATTGCCCCCAGCTGGGGTGAGTCACCAATGGTGCCTTGCGCCAACTGGTGTGCTGGCATGCCCGACAGTCAGGAGCAATCGCCACGCACAGCACCACTGGAAGGGTCTCCAGCCTTGTGACTACACTTGGATAGGCTAGCTTGGCGCGCTGTGGCTGCTGTTGTTTTCATGCTTGTCATGTCGCAGGCCTCCTGTTGCAGCATGTTTGTCCAAATGTTGCGTTGGAAGTTCGAAATGCCTCGTTGCCTTGTACTGTACACCCAGCATCAATAGGATGGACAACAAAGCCACACAGCACCAGCAGACCACCAAGGCAAAAGTATTTGCCAAGTCGGAATCATCCATAAATAGGACAGTCAGAAATATATGGAATAACCACAGGAGTGGCAAACAAGACTTTGTTCTAATGCTGACAGACCCTTGATGAAACCATGGGCTTGATGAAACCATTTGCTAGTTTGGTTGTAGGGGTTTAGGATGTACTGACTCCAAAGAACTTACCACCTTCAGCAATAAAAATACGAGGTCAGCAAATCAACTGCCTGGATGCTGGAAAAGGACCGGAGCCAGGACCAAACCCACCTTCCAAACCGTTTTGGAGAGCCCAGCAGACCAGGAATCTCCCTTCAACAGACACAATGCAACAATTCAGCAAGTTACCAGGTCAACTCAAGACCTTCCTCTTGCTCATACCTTTCTCAGTGAGGTGTGGACCCGCTGGGTCTCTCTTGTTGTGTTGGAGCGAACAACCAACGTTGACAACACAATTCTTGCTGATGTTCTGGTACAATAAGTTTGTGTTTACGCTGAGCCTTGTGACCAGACCTTTGTGCATCACCAGGGTGTTCACAAAGATACTGCAATTAATCCCCATTCCTGCTTTGTTGTGGTGACTGGGGCTACGCTATTCCTATTCAATGAATGTACTCGAATTCGAGAATTCAGCGAGTTTCAAGACACCAGAGGAGAAAGGAAGATCGAAAGGGGGCAAGTTGACGAGTTGGAAAGATGCAGGTGGCCTGGGGTGCCATCCACAAGGGCGGACAGGCATTCTTACAACAACAATGCTGACAACATCCAAACAAGAGCACATAGCACCGGCAAAGGACAGATAAAAGGGCGCGAAAGGAAGGCAGCATACTGGAGCAAGAATCACTGTGCTACTGAATGCAGAGTTGCTATACTGCAAACACTGGGATGCAGAGCAAGCCATTGCATAATCCAGAAAGATGCCCACATTGGTTGTGAAGTCAGGTTGCCCAGCACTGTCAGCGATAGGGGAAAGCTGCAGTTGCAGGTGCAATAAAACGTATTGCATGTCAGCGCATCAACAAACCTGTATGAAAAAATTCTGGAACCAGAACAGGCCAGCTACTAAATTCCCCTTGTGAGGATCTGGCTCCACCTGTAGTACACTCACTCATCGTATTCATCTGTGATGGGCCTGAGGTTGTACTCCTCAGCGACACTCTGCACGTTGTCCATCACACCTGAAATTCAACTGAATGCAACAAGTCAAGGCGACATGCTATCTTCACCCCAGCAATTCGTCAACACACAGCAGTGATATCAGCGCTCAAGAAACTTCTGCATTCTCTGTGCAGTGAATATGACAAGATTCATCCTGAGCTAGTGTGCGTGCATGAACACAACTTCTGCAATCCATAACGTTAATGACCAGATTTACGTTTGCCACCAGCAATATCTGCTGAAGTATGGTACAGACAATGGCCAGCAGGAATTTCAGCTGTAGCAGTAATTGTACATCAATAGCACATCTCATCTGCACATCGCAGAAGCAAGTATTGAAGATCAACAGTACATAATTCAACAACCAAATACACAACAAGCCACACATCAATCCAAGTTTAACAAATAAACGCCAACAAACTGGCAATGTGCATCAAATGGGATTGGACAACAATTGACGTTATGAATCTCTGTTCATGACGAATCTTGCAGTTGCTGCTGGGAAGAAGGAACACCAGCAGGCTTGCTCTCCTTGTGGGAGTACATGTGGGCACTCTCACACAATTTACAGATCTCACAGACTATGCTTCCTGAAGGTTGTGTGGTCACACAAACCTAACTACTAGTCACCCCATTTTCAGGAATGCAAAGTGCCAACAAATCCAGATTAATCCCCACAGTTAGCACTTCCATACCACGTGTCACTTCACTGGTTTGCTAGTTGGGCTTATGTGTTTTTTGTCCTCATCCTTCCAACTTTCATCCAAACAGGTGCTCATATGGCTGCAGAATCCAAGAGAAGGGATATGGGGGAGAGATGTTCTTCAAATCGGCATCCCTTTAGGACAAAGATATGTCTTAAATTCATGCCCATCCATGGTCCTTCAAGGAGGGACAACTTTTCAGTTGTTCTAAGCCACAAACCTGAAGTCTGTATTTACAAATCCCCTACACAGAAGGGTTGGAAGTGAAAAGTATGTCCATTCCACGTGGGGGCTGGGGATAGGAGAGGTATGGGATCCTGGCAAGGTCACTGTCCACCGCTGACAGCTGATCCTGCAAGTACTGATTTTCATGAGGGACAAGTGGCTTGATTGATCACTGTGTGGAACATACCGGACACAAAGGTACATTCGATGACAATGGGCACAAGTGCATGTGCACATGTGCTTGTGCCTGTGTTTGGGGTTCCAGAGACTCTGGAGCTTGAGCATTGGCACGTCGGCCTCTCCTTGGGGATGCTTTGTGCAATGCAAATGGGGAGCTGCCCTGTGAGCCAGGCCAGCTTGTCCCATTGACAATATGCTGTGTGCCAACAGGTTGCTGACAATGGCAGATCGTGGTTGAATCTGCAGTATCACGCACATCATTTCCTGACCTTGGCATACAACTGCCTTGAACCGTGGCCAGAGCATGTTCAGAAGGATTGTACTGGTTGCTGGATAACAGGGTACTGTCACTGTGGCATACATAGTGATGCTGTTTGATTGTACTTTTACTACGATTGCTGCTAGCACGGTCAACTCTGGGTCAGGCTGGTGTTTCCACACCATGCCTTGGCAGCACTCAATTCCAGTGGACCATATGACCTCCTTGGCGAAGTGGGCCAAACGCAATACCATTTAGAAAACAAGGAAAATCGTGGAGCAAAATTGGAGCCCCTTACCAGCAAAGAAAAGGATGTCATGTTCGGCCACCACAAACTCGGGTCCGACAGCGCTCAAGGTCATCGGCCCTCGTCTGCAGAGCAATAAGAAGACAACTATCAATATCTCTGAAACGTTCTACTTGTAATAGTGTGATTTATAACTGCTACATTTTTGCATCAGAGGCATGTTGTGACAGTTGATGTGCACTTTTCCGCCAAGGGGGAGAACAAGCTTGATCAACTGGCTGCCCAGGATACCTACAACAGAATGGTGGCTTTGAATGCTGAAAGCACCAAAACAGTGGTGCCCTGTTATGTGGCACTCCTGACTGTATAATGTAGCAACGCGAACTGCTGTCAATCACTGATTTCTTTTTTTTGGGAATGTTTCCCTGCTAACAGTGGTGAGCTCCATCATGATTGCATAATTTCACTGCTGTGTGAAGCAAACAACAAAATCTCCAATCAGCTGGGAAATCCCCATTGCATCACACTCTTTTTGTTTGTTGCATCCACATCAACATCACCTGACAGATGCCAAGAACAGACCCTCCAATCCTCGCAGTCCGGCATCAGCGACGGTCTTTCCAGCTGCTCTGGAGCCTGTGGGCACCTGAAGTCCAACAAGGAAGCTTGACTGGATGTCTGCATCCCCACAGCGAACAGAGTCAGAGTCCGCGCAAGCTTTCTCCACTCAGCAAATGCTGAACCAAAGTGATAGTACATGCAGTGTACTCTGCAATCAACACAACAACGCCTGTGTGACAAAATGCTGCATGTTGCAGAACATCTGCTGACACAGCAACTCATTGTTCCCAATCGATCTGGCACTAACACCAAGGAGCACTTTGTCCATTTTTTCCAGTTTACACTGTCGGCATTGGCCACAGACCTTTGGGATGTACTTCAAGTACTTCCAGTATGCTGCGCGGGCTTCAAATAGCAACTGTGTGTGCTTGGGCCTAGTGTTTAATTGCCAGGACCATGCAGTAGGATCCCCTGACAATACAATATGAAGGGCAGCTCTTCCCAAACCCCTGCTGTACAGGATGCCACACTAAATTCAATTGCAAAGGCACAGATGGCCAACCACAGAGCATTTCAGGACAAGCATAGATACTTGGGTGTGCAGTGACTCACTTGGATTCTGTCGTCCCTTGCTTCTGCCAGGCAGCAACACAGGGGCAAATACAACCATGTAGATGAGGCCCCATATGGCAACAGGAACACCATATTTTCCAATATCAAAAAACCCTGGGCGGCCCTCGCCGGCATCCTCCTGCTGCCCTGTCAAACAAAAACTAACAGAATTCACTTGCCAAAGATATCAGGCAAGCCACAAGCCAGCAAATGAGCAGTAACGGGTTTCGCAATCACTTGTCTCAACAACCCCTGGCAGCAAGAGAGCCATACACCTTGGCATGAAGCTGGCAGCATAATCTTCCTGGACAACTTGTGCCTGACATATTACCAACAGGATGCTCATGATATGGGCAGCTGCCATACAAGCCAGCACTTCCCACTGGTTGTACAGGAGTGCAAAACGGGTCTTCAGTGAAGCTTGCAAGTCATTGAGACTCACTTCCTGACAATGGGTGACAGCCAGTGTACGCAGGCAAAAGTCAACACAGAAATCGCAACTGGTGAGTCTGCCAACCACAGCATTTGTTCAAATGTGTGGCATGCAGGATTGTCACTTTGACAAATTGAACAAGTGCTAATCTGATGTTAATGATACACACAATTGTACACCAATCAGTTCTCGTTTGTGGATTGGTGAATGGGGTGTGAAGTTTGGCGGGTTTGCAATACATAGGAGGAAGTTTCTGTTTGTAATAACAAATCACATTCCCTGGCATGTACTACAAGTGGTATATTGTTTTCCTATGGCCGTAAACTCGTTCCCAAGTGGGAATAGAGGAACTCTTCATCTGTTAGAGATTCTGCGGGATCTCAGGGAATTCAGGATGGAAACGAGTGAGCATGGCCATATGAACAAGCGACCAAACATCAACTTTAGGTGCAAGGGGAGGTATTTTGACAAAGACAATCAAGAATTTCAGTGCAAAAGCATTTGTGCTGACCTGCTACCACCAAGTTTGTGGAAGTTCCAATCAGAGTGGTGGTACCACCCAGCAGGGAGGAGAAGCTGAGTGGGATGAACATCTGTAGCACAGGGAGGCAGCTTCAATCCCAGGGAGGCACAAAACAGTCAGGAGCAAAGGCCAAAACAGCCAAGGCCCCAAACAGCCAAGGCCCTTTCTTACATAACTGCAGTCCAATTTCCATTAATTTTGTATTATTTTGAGTTTGGATTACTCTTGCGGCATTTTTTACATTCTTGCGAAAGCATCAGCAATCATACTGACTGAATGCCTGGGACCTCTCCAACAACTGAAAGTGTCGGTGCCATCCATGCCTTTGCAATGAAACTATGCAAGGCTGCACACAACAATGCCAAAATGTCACCAGTGCCCCACAGTAACTTGGGCATCAGGCGGTTCAAGCACTTGATGAACGTTCATGTCATACAACATTGGGCTACCAGCCTGGCACATTTCCTGGTCAGCAAAAGATGGCCCACAACGTCGACAAGGGGTGAACAAATGCATGTGATTCCATTGAAGCCCTCATCCACACAGGGCCCAGCTGACTGGGAGCAGCACAGGCAAAAGCCGTTGTTTTCGTTTGTGTTCCCAGAAGTTGCGTGCACTTGCCTGGCCAGGTGGCAGGTCTGCTTTCTGACACCAGCTGTTCACGATTGGTATTAAGATGGCCACAACCGGCGTGTTGTTCATGAACGCAGACACGATGGCGACAGGAATCATCAGCCGGACCATCGCCCTCGCCACCCCCGTGGGCTTGCCCAGCAACCGGCTGAAGATGTGGTCGAGACCCCCTGTCTCTGAGATGCCAGACGCGACGACAAACAACACTGTGTGCAGAGGACACAGGTTGAAGTTTTGTCAATCTCAATCCCACAAATTGTGCCAAGATTCTTTGCAACAAGGGACACAAGAGGACAAGGACAGACCAAAATGAGTGCAAGATTTCTTGGATTGCAGAGTGCTGGAAAGTGTAATAACATTAATGCTTCAACCAAAATAAGGGAGAAAGGAAGGAAAAGTGGAGGAAATAAGTATCTGGAATGTTCCCTGCACGCAAAGGGAAGGTTTCAGAAGCCCACTGTTGTGATTGCAGGCGTTGTGGCATCGGCCTAGGAGGTGTTTGTGCTCAGAGAGGGCACCAATAGGAGGGGAAATTGGGAGGGTAGAATGGCACACTGAAACACCCCCAAGGTGCGAAAGAGGTATAGAGAACCAAAGGAAATTCTATAGAAAAAGAAAAGGATCAAAATCCAGTGACACAGATTTTTGACACCTGGATCCACCTGAGCTCTTCAGTATCAAGAGGGCGCATTTCACAAGTTTGACTTGGTTCTGACACACCAATGCATGCATTTCATCTGTCATTTCAATGGATGTTAATGACCAAGGACGATTGTAAGGCAATTTCCCCCATGCATGGGGGATTTCCGCCAAGGAACATGCCAAGAACGCCAGCTCAACAAACCCCTCAAGTGGCAGGACAGCACAGCAGCCGGGTGCACGCTTGGATCCAGCGGAGCTGTGCAACAAAACATCCAAGCCCAGCGTTGCCTCGCGCATGTAAGAACAGTGGCTTGTCCCATTGGGCCAGTGCAATCAACCGACTGTAGCCGCCCCGGCGAGGAGGGAACTCGTGAACGTGTGACACGGGAGATCGCACAGCAGCACCTCCACAGGCGAGTCAGCGCACGCAAACACGTCGGCAAACCCTGTTCGCCATTCACCGGCGCATCTGCACGCGGCCGACCCACGGCACCCTCGAAATCGCAGCCCGACCCGGCCGGCATCCCTCCCCACCGCGGGACCCCTGGCCCGACGCGCAGCCCAACGTGCCCCGCCGCGGGAACCCTGGCCCGACGCGCAGCCCAACGTGCCCCGCCGCGGGACCCCTGGCCCGACGCGCAGCCCAACGTGCCCCGCCGCGGGACCCCTGGCCCGACGCGCAGCCCAACGTGCCCAGCCACCTCGGCAATCGCGGAGTCATCCTCCCAACCTCTCGATGAGTCCCTGAACCGCTCCCCCAGCCCAATTTCCACCCCAGGCGCCCCACCCCGCCCCCCCCTCCCCCCCGGGCAAAACACTCCCATTCCACACAGTCTCCAACCGCGTGCAAACTGCCTGGTTCACATTAGACCGTGTCGCGAATTTGCGATCCCAACCGAGCTGAACTGTGCCCAAATTATGTTGCAGCAAGCCTGTTCTGGAGACATTTTGTCCACCGACCCAACCCAAGCTCCTCAACCCAACCCCTCCCTTGCCTTCTGAGTTGCTTGCGTTGTGCTTATCTTTTCGCGTCAGAGCCTCTCCATCATCTTTCACAGGTGGGAAAAGAGCCTCCTGCACACTTGCCTAGAAGGGGGTGCCCTTTGATGACTTGTTTCCTTCTCTCTTTGCAACAAATCTTAACCCACAGCGGCAATCCAATGTCCTTAATCCGATTGTCCATCCCACAACGGCACCGCCGGATCGATCCCATTCTGCGCACCTGCCACCGTCAGGGGCGCCTCGTTGGCGAAGCCCTCCAGGCCCTCCTCCACGTTGATGATCTTGGCGGCCATCAGGCATGCGAGCATGCCTAGGAACACGAAGTCCGGGCCCGCCCAGTCCCTGAAAAGGACCACCAGCCCCATGGCCAGGGTCGTGATGGTGAATGCCCCCTCCCAGCCCACCATCCTGCCCGACCCGCCGCGCGGCGCGGCGGCGGCCAAGTCGGCGGTCCTGTCGCTCGCCTGGGCTGCGCGGGTGAGGGGGATGCGGAATGGGCGGGTGAGGAGCGGGAGCACGGCTCCTTGGGTTTTGACGGTTTGATGCAATGATCAAACCGAGTCCGGGGTATGGTGTTGCATGCGAAGTTGATATTACGGAGGCGATGCGGTTGATGTGTTGCGGTGGACCAAAGCCTGCGTACCTGCAGCGTCTTGTGCGCGTCCTGGCCTTCGAGGCCTCGGCAAATCGCCCGCACCCGCTCGTGCAATGATTTGATTGATTGACTGACTGGGGAGCGGCGCGCATAAGCCGCCCATTGGGAAGCTGGAGGTGACGTGCGCGTTGCTAAGAGTTTGCAGGGTCCCTGTTGAGGCTGATCGGTGATGCAACTTTTAGCCCTTCTTGGGGGTTTTCATTGTGGGGACCGTGCTGCACACTTGATGTCCCCGTCTCCACCACAGCACTGTTGGCAACTCCCACCATGACCCCAAGCTCGCAAGGGAATTGTTCTCCTTGCAGCTATGCTTTGCAGCTCGAGGAATGTGGAGGCGACAGCCCTGCCAATGCCGATCACGCACAGCTGGCAACCGACCACGGGGCGCGCGCCGTACCTTGCACTACGACACATAAACCCTGCAGAAGCATCCTGGCAATATGCATTATTGCGAGGGCACCGGTGGCTGGCGCCGCCCTTAAATGGATATAGTTTACGCACCACTAACAGATCCACATGTACTTGTTTCTGGCATCTGTATCGCAGTGGGATATATGTATCTGATATATCACCGATGGTATGTGTCACACTTGGTTGGGCACGGTGGCTGCACCCCAGCTCCAATCGATGTTGCGCCAGGGTGTTGGTCGGCATCCTCGTTGCTGATTTTACAGATTACTCCCTCCATACACATTACTTTGTGTCATCTTTCTCGTAACGGTTTCATAAAGCCGTTATAGGCACAAAGCCTAGATGTTGTGTGCGGTAGTTGGGAGTCGGTCTTTGGCACCTCGTCACAGTGTCGAATGACTCAGTCGAGGCTTGAAGAGTGCTGGGAAGTGATGGTTGCAAGAGATGTGCCCCGAAGTCTGGGAGAGGAACGATGTGTCCAGACCAGAGATCATGATGCGATTTTAAGGCCATGGAGTTGGTTCAAGATTCCTGAGCAACAGGTCCTCTACGTTGACGGTAGTCTTGTTGTCAGGAGAGAAATGTTATGCAGCTGGAGATGTTTGCCACAGGCGAATTCGGTGTGACAACTGGCGATTGGAGCCCTTTAAACTTTCTGCAATTGTTGAGGCCATTGTGTGATCTGCATTGAGGAAGGACGGTGTTTGATCCTAGACTTTCCGTATTGGCATTGCTATGATTACTTATTGTGTTTGTTTGTGCGGCTATGAAGCTTGTCATACTACCACTGTTCCAATAGTATTGTCTGAATTGAAGTGAAAATGTGCAAGTCAGTGTTCGAATTACCAGTAATTGACCACTGATCTGCCTCCGTCAATTACTGATTTGTAATCCGATGATCAGATGGTGGCATATGAGAATCCTGTTTCAAGGAATGCCATTAACAATATCTTTGAATGGCTGTCACCTTTTCTCGATGTTTCACATTTAACTTTCCAGTTTCCTGAACTGGGGGTCTGTGGCTGAACACTGATGTGCAGTGGAACTCATTGAGAGAAGTGAATACATGTTAAAAGGCCAGTTTAAAGAGATGAAAGTCTGACACACCAAGACAGCCGCAGCTGCTATTTTGTGCAAGCCCCTGTCCATGTGCTGGCTGACTGGTGCACACATTGACCTGATTGAGATGGCGGAAGGACGGCTGGCTAACAATCAGCTTCGATCTTACTAATTTTGGTGATCACGAGCTGGTGCTGTGGGTTGGAGCTGTGCGTTGGAGCTGTGGATTGGTGCCATGGGTCGATGCTACGGGTCGGTGCTGTGGGGTGGCGTGTTGTGCGTGTGTGAAGTGTGAGTTCAATCTGGCGCTCTAAGTGTGAGTGCTGGTTGGCGAAAACAGAGGCGCGTTCTGGTATTTAAAGGGAGCCCGAGACTGTTCGTGGCTTCTCTTGGTTTGGTTGTAAGACAAGTTGAGTCTTGGCTGCTTGTCCGACCATGCACGGCGAGTGCGTTCGAGCACCGCGTGCACCAAGGTTGCCACAGAGGTCGAACCAAGTCGGTTTGACTTGTGCTGCATTGTGGCCCATCACTGCGCGCATTCAATTGCGACGAGTGGGACCTTGAACCGGGATGGCTAAGGAACTTTGACAGTCAGAAACTTTGACTTAAACAGCTCTGATGCGCCTTTCTACGAGCTATCCACAGAGACCTCTAACATTACAATCAGCCTAGCGGTTGATGAGTTATGCTCCCGCGTGCTAAGACAGGGCTTTGAACATTTTTTTCATTTTGTTGCTGCAAGGGCGAGCTCATCTCGCCCATTAAGGAAGGCGAAATCGGCTGGGCTGCCATTGGTGGAATGGTATTCCTTATTCATCAAGTGTGCGCTTGCAATTGATGCCTCTAAAGATCGCATTTTGTATGCGAAGCCACCAAAGATCACAACACAATTTGGGGTGTCATCAAAGGCCGCGAGGAGGCGGTGGTCCAGAGTAACAGAACAACTTGATTAGTGCTATAGTGTTGGATGCAGAATGCGCCAATCTCTCGCTCCCTCGAGGATGTTGGTCCTTGGCACTTGCAACATCCGGCGGGGAGACACAATACGCATCGATCCCCCTTGCTCCCGGCCTGGATGGCTTGGGTCAGGTGGCGCTTTGTTGGGATGCACGCTGGCTCGCTTCGCATGCGACCATGCTGGCTCGCTTCACTTTGCGTGCACCATGCGCATGGTGGGCCCAAGGACACGGATTGCGTCAGTAGATGCGGCTGTACAGTTGGCAGATGGAGCAAATGCTAGTGTACCACGGTGCACCTCGCGTGGGGCACGACCAAGAATCAGTTAGTGGCAAAAGATGATGTTACGGAGGGTAAACAGTTGCCCTTTGTATATTCCACCAAGCCCCGAAGCTTCCCGGAGGCCATGCAATCAGTATGGGGCACGTCTTTGCCCTATGCCCTCCCCACGTACTGGAGCAAGGGCACCGCCCCCAATGGCCATTTTAATCTAAATAAAAGTCCAACACAATAACGGAAAGGGACCGAGCTTCCATATAAAATGTGGAGTCTAATCCTTTGGACTTTCCCCTGTAAACCTTGGGGTTCAAGTGCTAAAAAGCGGTCACCTGATTGGTGACAATTCCATTTAATGAGCCTAATAAAGCGGGGAATAGTTCACCCCCTTAGATTTTCTTAACAAGTAGTATCGATGTTGCAGATGAGCCAAGGCTAGGAAGGCCATATATCTCTTGATGCTAGCCAAGGAATTGGTTTTGGTTGATGCCAACATGGGGAATCGGAAGGGGACCATGAGACAGATTACCCACGAAAAAGCAACTCATCGATTTTTTGGTGGTTTAAAGCGATAGGAGTAGTGTGCAGGCGGCGGTGGATAAAGGCGTCGTCACAGAGTTCAGAACAGATGTGGGTTAGGTTGGAGTTTGCAGTGAACAATGCAAACGCAAGCAGGATGATGTACGATTCCGCATTCAATTCGATCCATATGGATGAAACTTGGTTCTATCTGATGAGGGGTGGGAAACATGCACGTTACTGGCCGGGAAAAGCCATGGATCACGTGGCCACAGTCCAACATAAGTGTTGCGCCCCCTATTGGGAGTGTCATAAGATCCCCCTAGGAGGTGGGAGTCGGGAGACACACAAACAACAAAGATTGTTACGTTACTCGAATCTCAACCACATATACGGCGTTTGGTTAATCAAATAATATTAGTTCATCACCCAAGTGAGCTACAATGGAATCCCTAGCCAAGCTATCATTACCAAGGGACAACACAATGAAATGACTTCTGTACTAAGACGCTACCTAGCAATAAGTCATAACAACAAGAGCCACATATCCAAAACCATGTTTATTGGTAAATGCTAGTCCAAATCCAATCCATCATTTCGATGGGGAACTTGGAGTTTGGCAGGTGTGTAGCAAGAAGGTGGCCGAAAAAAGTAGCAAGCAACACCAAAAGGGGGATAGGTACCAAGTGGACACCACCATAGACTTCGCTTGGTATTGCAAGTGCCACGTTGAGAAGCTTTTGTTGGCAATTACGATAAAGATGCCGTGGGTGCAAAATAGGCAAATACTGGTTCAGCGAGGTGGGGCTAGGCCCCACACAGGAAAAGGAAACTTGGAAGCCCTTGAGGAAGCCGTGCACGTAGGTGGCTGGTCGATTGACATGATTATCAGCCACCACGATCCCCTGATTTAAGCATCAGGGGTCTTGGGTTCTTTAGATCGTTGAAAACGATAGTTCTAGAAATGTGATTGAGCACAATGGATGACATTGCTAGAATTGTTGAGGAAGCGTATGAACAATATGATGCAGAAACCCAAGAGCACATGTGGCAGTGGCTGTTTGTCGTGTACAACAAAATGCTTGAGGGATTTGGGGAATGGGTATACGATGGAACATACGGGGATGAGGCAAGCCCAACAACAAGGAACTCAGGGTGTGTACGGCCGCGGACAGGGACGCTTTTCACAACGCCGTAGATTTAGTTGCATGGTGATGCTGGATTGTAATCCGGATCCACATCCGTCGGAAATCGACCACGGAATCTGAATCTGGTGTCAGATTGACCAATTGAGTTGATTGTGCAAAGTTATTGTAAGAAAACAAATTTGGACAATACTTCTGGAATGGAGATAGTACATTGTGGCATTGTTTGTTGCTCATGCCGATTGGGTGGATCTCAAGGCAGTGGCAAAAGGGAAGGGAAAGAGCATTTGTGGAACATGCGAAGCGAGGTGTTGATGTCGAGGGCACACTTAGAGCGTCTTGTGAGACAGCAGGACTGGGAAGAGCAATCCTTCATGGCAACCCTGCTTCCGGGGTGACTGAGGGTCTGAGAAGGAGATCTGAAGGGTGCGAAACTCACAAGTTCCAAATATTTCGAAGTATTTAAGAACATCGCCATTGTTGTTGGGCTGATTGTTGCAGTTAGCACTGTCTTTACCCTCATTGTAATGGCTGTGATACGGCACAAGGCTCTGAATTGAAATGCATTGAACTAGAACCTGAGCGTGAATTGTTTCTGTTTCTGTCCCAGCCAATACGTCAGCATGGCAGCTAAATCTGGCCAAAAACCACTCAAACATCACGTGTCACATCATTTCCCCAAAGTCTGCCAAGAATTGTTTGCATGACGTTCTGCAGCACCCATGCAGACTCTGTTGCATGCCTGCTTTGGAGTTCAAGTTCCAAAGTTCTCATGATTTCCGAAATTCCGCAAATTTGGCGAAGTGCAGCCATCATCCTCCCCAGGTGCGCAGCAGCTGCAAGACGTGTGCTGCTCATAAAAGCCCCGCGCGCCTTTCCAATTGATCAATGCACTACCCTGTTCATGATAAATGACATTGGGTAAGTGCGTCCACATGGCGAGCAAACGCTAGAAGGCAGGAGAACACCACCACTGACAAACCTCATGTTGTGTATGGGCAAAGAGGCATATCTTGCCCTGCAAAGCAGCACAACAACATGGTATGAGGCACAATCTTCTCATTGTATTTCGGTCAGTGCCAGCATGTGGATGTAGCCATGCTGCTCGTGTTCAAAACCTCTTTGATTAGTTTTCAAAAAGTGATGGCATGGATTCTGCATGGATATACAAAACACTTTGACTGGCATCTGTTCATGGCTATGGAGTTTTTTTCTTTAATTCTTCTTTTACAGGTGCAACGATGAAGGGTAGTTTCTCTACTAGCCATAGTTGCCAGCTCCCAAGGGAACGAGCACTGATTCACTGGTAGAGTGCACACTTGCCACGAAGATGCAAAGAACGAGCTTGGTAGTCTGTGTTCGCCTCATGAGGATACATGAAGCAGTGTTGGCCGGACTGCCAAACGACTCTATCACTGATATACACAAGGCTCCTACTCTTATCCCAGTCCCTGAATCCAGCACAGTTAGTTTGTGCCAAAAAACGCACATCCCATACATGCTCAAAGCAGGTTCCCTTGCCAGCTTGCACAGCCACCATGCACCCATTCCAACAAACCAGCAAACCCGAGGGGGGGCGGGACCACCCAGCTGCTCACAAGGCAATCACCACTGCTGTGCATTGATTGCAAAACAACCACACAAATGCACAGTTTCATATGCTGTCTTCTTGCTTCATCCAATGAGGGAGGAAGAGACAAGTTCCCCTCAATGCCACAGCCAACTGCACCATGAAGCAATGTGTTCGTGCCCCAAACGCACCTGCTCTCTCCTGCTCATACTGGCCCCCCTGTGGCCACACTTCCAGAGTCCAGTAGGTTGCTCTGAAGCTCCTGTGGGCAGCAGAGCCCTCACAAGGCTGCTTGCTTGAGCAGCTTCTCCCAATCTGGGTTTTCTGGTTGGCCAGCGTCCATCCATACATGCTTGAGGCGCTTGAATGCATCCGAATTTGTGCTGCAACCATGCAGAGTGGGTCAGGGATGTGGTAAACGATACAAAGGAACACACAAAGGCAGTGCAGGACAGATGCCAGGGTGCTAACTGGGCATGCAATCAGTCCTTGCACCAAAACGCTGCGGTGCTTAGTTTGGACTTGCTAAACAACAGTGCTGAACTGTAAGGAAAGACGATATTCTATGTGATGGACGCTAAATGGAGAACCCAAGGCCAGTAAGCTTGCAACAAAGGTGTCAGACCAATATGACTACAGCTGAAAGAAACCGAGAGTGCAGTTGGGCACATGTTTGGGGCCACAAGCTCAGCAAGAGAGGACACTGCATGTCTGATATCAATAAGGGAATATCATTGACTCGCCATGAACTGACAAATGCAGTCAATGGGGGGTCGCCTCAGCGATCACGGACAGCAATCCTTGCATGCATCGCTGATGGTTGATTGAATCAAGACCCACACTTTCTGACATTTTATTGCACGGCTGTTTGAATCTTTCAAAACTAACAGCAAGGCTGGCTAGTGCTGCCCTTGCATGCCTTCTGCTCAGCAGCTTCAACTCCATCCCACTGCTGATGGAGACAAGAAGCCCCTGGAGAAACTATAGGGCATTTAAATCGTACAATGAAAACAATCAATCGACACCAAAAGTTGGTATGGGTCCTTGGCGGCGCACACACGATGAGCACCCAGGACCTTCAGACCACCTGCTCAATACTGGAGTCACTAACACAGGTGAATATATGCTGGGCACTTCAGGCACAAGTGCTTGAATCAGCCCCAGCCACAAGCATGGCGGGCTGCTGAGGGCCTGCACACAGCACCCACTGTTGATGGAGGCACGCGTTCAGGGCGTCGGCTTTGTCTCTGCACCTCCAGACCACCGAGATGAGCTTGTCCTTCGAGCACTCAACGAAGTCCTCAGCCAGGGGCCTGCACTGCCGCAGTGCGTACTGTTTCTGCTTGTACCTGAGGCCTGTCAATCCAGGTCAAGCCACAGACCCGCGGTCAGTGGCGGACCGCACGCTGGTTGCAATCGGATTGGGGCAGTGTTGGGAAACCCACCACCAATCCGATAGTTAGGCCAGTTGCTCCAGGCGATTGATGCCACTCGAATGGGTTTAGTTACGGGTTTGATGATCGAAGCTGGGTCGCGCCGGTGGGAAATCAAGCCTTCTGACCGGCAACTGCGCCTGGGCCGGTTGACCAGGGATTCTAGGGAGGTTGAATTTGGCACTGGGGCAGCGCAAATGGCCCGTCGCATGGCGATCTGGTTTCGCGCACGGAAAGGCCCCCAGTCGACGTTTGGAACAAAAGCAGCTCCGTTTTTGTTCGCGGGTATGCTGGCGCCGTCGGCCGCGTCCATAGCGGCGCCCAAGTCGAGGCGGTGAAGCCCATGACGCGCTGCGCCTTTCTCCTGCCATCGACAATCTGCGGGTAAGCCAAACTCGTAGCGGCCTTCAGAGCGCTTCCAAACCGAGCACGAGAATCCGCCCTTCAGCTCCACTGGCGCCATTTCGATCCGTGGCCAGCCCCGGCCGCAAAAATTGATTTCGCAAGGGCCGGGACTTCGCGAAAAACACCCCCGGAAGCCCCAACTGCAATCAAAATGTCCCACCGACAGGCGGCCAGAGAGAACGCACGACGCCGCCGCTGCGCCGCGCCACCCCCGGAAACGGCATTCCAGCCAAGGTGACACGTGATTCGTTCGTCGCAGGCACAGTTAATTTCCCGCTCGCAGCGACGGGGCGGGCCCGCGCGGTCGATCCCGTCACCTTCCTCCGCCCGCTTGGAGATCTTGGGGGGCGGCGCTCCAGCCATCGGCAGCGGACTCGGCCCCGTCCCTCGGCGCCCGACAGACCTGCTCCTTCGCAGCTGTGTCTCAGGGACAAACCACACAAGCCCTGGTTTTGCCACCTATGTGGCAGCCCTTAGTACTGGCGTGTACTTGCAGAACCCGTTAAGTACAGCGCGCTTCCCAAAGGGAGGTTTACCTTACCTGCGCTGTTCTGGGCCGTGGCTGGAGGAGAGGCTCCAGGGGATGGTCCTGCAGGCTGAGGAGGCCCAGGCCGCCTCTCCCTCGGCGCAGGGCTCAAAGGCACTGGACACCCCGGTGAGTCCGACGCTCCCAATCGATCCCACATCCAGTCGCCGATGACCCTGGCGGCGTTGGCCAACCCCTCGTAGATCTCCAAAACTCCCCAGGATCTCGCAAGCAGGTCGAGCAGCGTCCAGTCGGTGCAGTTCGGGCCAGCGCTGCGTGGCTTCGTCTCCTGTGGTTCTCCGCGACTCGCAGCGGATCTCGCGAACGGGGCGAACAACGTTCAATCGCAGAAGCGCGGACCGGTGTTGATTAGTTTGTCTCCTGTGGTTTCCTGAGACTGGAGAGGATCTTGCAAGCCGCCAAGTCGCGGGGGATCCCTGAAAGATGAAAAGCGGAACGAAAATTTTGAAAAAGGCTCGAAAATTCGAGCCTTATCTGCCCGCGAGTGTGGTATGGGATTCGCCTGGGACGAATAGAAATGCAGGCAACAGATCGAATGCCACCGCACTTGCAGACGTGTGTTTGGCGTGTCAGCAGGTGGCCGGTGTCCCTAACTCTTTGCCTGGACAGGGGCCGTCCCTTTCGCACTGGGACGCGTCCACAACATCCTGTACATTAGCATTGAAAAACAGTCTCATAAAACTTCATGAAGAAGGGGGGGGGAGGTTTCTATTGATTTCCCTTCCTCTTGATTTTCCGGGCATCCTGGGTTTCTTGTGAACCTTAAGACAGACTGCTGCTGTGTGCTGCATGCTATGGAACTCTGAGGAAACACGCGCAATGGCCAGTGTGTGTCGTCTTTGTTGTTGCTGCAGCGGATGCATTCCTTTCTGGTGAGAAAACCGTCGCCACCTTCTGTCCTCTACACCCCCCGATGTCCATTTCCTACTGATGCATACACAGGACAATGCGGCTAGCGAGGCTGAGACAGTGGGCTTCCTGCACGCTCGCAAAGCCGGCGATCGGCTGCACTTCTGTGTGAGCTGCGGCTTCCCGATCGCCACCTACGGCCGCCTGTCACCCTGCCTGCACGCATTCTGCCTGACCTGCGCCACAGACATGGAGAGGTGCTACATGTAGGTCGCAACAGGTGGCACCCATTGCGCTCCACAGTGGAACTGGTGCTCCAAATGAAAATTGTCAACCCCCAACATAAGCTTGTTACAGTCCCAATAGGTGGCACCCATTGCGCTCCGCAGTGGAAACTGATGCTGCAAACGTAAATTGTCAACCCCCATCATAAGCTTGTTACCAGAGGGTGCTCCAAAGGTGTTATGCTTTCAGCTTCCACTTCTTGTCCCATGTGTGGGTCAGATGCCTGTCACATGCCACTCCAAGTACTCTCCAAGTACTTGCTGTCAGAGGTGGCCTGTTTACTTCTCCATTGTGTAGGTCAGAGGCCTGGTACACGCCACCTGTACATGCTTGCTCCCCAAGGTTGCACCTATTTGCCAAAGCTGTTGACTGTCACAAGGCTCGACAAGTGTGTTCGTGCACCTGAAAGGTGGCCAGGGTGCAGTGGGGTCCCATTCAGATTGTGCACCCCTTGCATTTTCGTAAACCATGCAAGCCAGATAATTGAAGCAAGGGCAGCTGGTGGCAACGGAGCTGGAGGCTTCTGTTGAGGCCAAAAGTGCCTGGTTTGTTCTTCTTTTATTTTGAAGGTCATTGAGAAAGGGAAGCAAATGGTGGGAACTGGCACAGACCTTGGTGGTTTCTTACTCCACATATTACTGGTAGTAGTTTTTTGGTACCTTTGTCATCGCTGGGACCTCTCGGATTCGCTATTTCATGGGGGACAAATGCAATCTCCGGAACTCAATTCCCTTGGTTTGTGCATTGAATAGAGCAGCACTGGATGGTGTGGAATATATGAATCAGTCCTATTCTGCAGAGTGAGGAGTGCTGTATGATCCCCTTGCTTTGGAATGTGGGGTATCCCATTTGCAGTCTTGTGGTTGAGCGAGCTTCACTGTCGTTGCAGACTGTGATCGTGCCATTATTGGCAAATGTATAACACAAGAATTGCCCACACATACTGGAATTCAAGCTAAGGAATGGAGTAATGTGAACTTTGGCATGCCAAAAACTAGATGCAATGTTCTGGAATAGAAGAGCATGCGATTGTGTTCTATTGGCATCATCTGATCGATGATGATCAGATTGCAGATAGAACAGTAATCGCAGTACAGTCAATGCTGCTGCTCATCGTTGACGCCTGGGAGGATGGTGGCATGGGCAATATTGACAATCCAGAGGTAGCTTGAAGAACAACACCAACGCACTCATATTGCTCTGCACAGATCAACAATAATCTCCACTCTGCGCTGGTTCACAATTTACAACTAGTGATTTCATGGCACAAGTCCTTTGGGGCATTTCCACAACCACCACATGGAGGTGCAATGAGTAAAATTGCATTGTCCAGCAGATGTCAGACTGCATAATCCATTGTGCTTTGTGGTGATGTTGAAGAAACAGCTTTGTGCGCCGCAGATGCAACGCCCAGATCAACCGCATCGAGAGGATAGGGGGTGGTGCCCGTCTATATGTGTCATCAGTGACCCTTCAGAGCTTCAAATGTAAGTACATTGAGTGTCATCGAGCTAGCCAGGACCTGCCTGGGAAGCCTGATGTGATAACAATCGCCACAACACACCACTGCACTGGCAGCTGTGCCCGTTGTTGCCTGAAAGGTGCATGGCACATTTTTCCATCAAGAAAACAAAGGTGACCGAAGTATATTTTCACCGCCTTTGCACATGCAAGGCAGCAGCATCAAATGCTCATGCCCTGTGCAACTCCTGACAGGAACACTGTGCCTATTTCATCACGTACTTGTCCAACAAGAGAGAAGCAATTCCACAACTGCAACAGGGTCGGGAACTGACATATGTATCAACAGCACCCCTGAAATAATTGCAGTGGCAGGATTGGTCAACTGCCATGTATTCTCACTGAGTTCAGATCCACAACCCATAGCTCACCTCCCCAATGCAATTATTCCCACAAACTGTTGCACAGTATGGACTTCTTTGTGTTTCATATGTCACAGGATGGAAGAGAGTATCAGGTGTATTTTTGTCTAAGAAGGGGCATGCCCAAAACACCACTTATTCCTTTTGCAATTGCATCGAATCTTCCAACCCTTTCTGAATGTAGAGTGTGCTGCCCCATCAGCCCCACCCCGACCCGAAACTATTACCCACCCACAGACACCACCTTGCACAAGCCATGCTCACATCTGCTCTGCGGTACCTTTCCAGCCACGGACGATCTCAAGCAGCACACACAGCGGGTCTACTCTCACCTGATGGCCTGCAAGGAGGTTTCTGCCCCCGAGGCAGTGTCCAGCTCCTATCCTCCACAGCCCTCACCCTCTCCCCAAGGCCTGGCCCACACATACCCAACACGCCACCAGGTATGGAGAAACAAACAAACAAGCGAAGTTGCTGCGGCTGTAGTGGTCATCACGTCGCTGCGCAAGAAGAGTGTTTGCTTTCTTTTGTCGAGTGTTCTTTTGTTCCTTTCCCTGAGGACAATTTCTGTCATGTTCGCATTTTGCTTTTGAACATTATCAGACAGGTTGCATTGCCACCGTCTTGGCCAATGCTTTGTGGCAGAAATTGGACAGTGCCTGCCCCTGGCTGGAGCATAGTACCAACGCACACCAGGCCCATGTAGGCGTTTATTGCAAAGGCTCTTACTGTAGTGAGATTGCTGATTATTGTGGCGTGGATTGAATAGCAGAAAGTTTTAGATGCATGCCTTTTTAAACCTTTGCAACTGGACTGGATCCCTTCCTTCAAATGCCAGCTCCAATATGCAGCACCTAGAGGCACTGTAGGTGGCCACGTGCTTCTTGGACAATCATGGTCCTTCTGTAAACGTGTGGTTGCTTGTATTGTGTTTTTCAAGTACATCTTATTTCTTAATTGTAGTGCCAATCTTCGGAACTTGAAGAAGACATCTTCATCTATCCATACTAGCGTAATACATGCTTGATTGCCTCATTCCTGTGACTCCTTGCTGCGCTTTTTGTGCGCTCTAGTATTTTCATCCACTTCAACAGATCTCTGCTGTGATAGTGTTCCTGAGTTGCCCTTCCTATGCTCAACAGATGCCATACAGATAGTGCAGCTTGAAGTCAGGCTGGTGCGTACATGAAGAAACTGCCCAGTCACTGAATGAAGGCACAGCCATCAGACTTGCAGAGCCTCAGGGCTCGTTCCCCTTTCCGATGCAAGGGCTGCAGGGGCTCCAATATCCTCTCGACAGCTCTTGACATTTGTGTGCAGGACCATGTGGGCACATGGGAGCAACAACTCCTCTGTTGGCTGTCGTTCACTCGTGGCATGTCGGCATGGCACCTTAGCTACGTAGGTCGAAGGCATGGTCTCTGCAGCAACATCCCCGGGGCGGTGTCCCTGGCTGGTTCCCGATTCCATGTCGGGCGCTTCCTCCATCAGGGCTCAGCCCATTTCTGGCTGCAAACGAGGCACAGATCTTTTGAGAGGGGCCCATGTGGTGGAAAGGAATCGTGATGTCGACGTGGTGCTGGGAAGGCAGAAAGAACACAATGCCTAGCCTGGGAAGGCAGAAAGAACACAATGCCTAGCCAATGGCCAAGGAGACGAAATGATCTTGGCAATGCTGACCGTTGCCCGCTCAGGAATAGAGGGCACATTGTGTTAGGTAGAGACGAACAGTCTCTGAGCGCTGGACTGGGGCTTGAGTGGTGCTCCGCTTGCACACACCGCCGTAGCTGCTAAAATATGCGTGAAGGGCGACCGTTGCTACCTTAAACCAATTGCATCGTTGAGTTTGTTCAGACGCATGGCGTCGCGAGTATGCACGGAAGTGACCCTGAGGCTGTGAATGAATGGTGTGAGCAATCTATTGAAGTTGTTTAGGGTGCCACTTTATGTGGTAGTAATAAGACTCAAAAAACACAATCATTGGATGAGTAAATATGGTAAGAACGGCCCCCGTGTGCCAAGCAGAAAAAGGATAATTAGGAGGCGCACTCACAAAAGTTGTTATGGAAGCCAAACCAAGCTACTCAGGGACGTCCGCGATGGACCAAGGAAGGTACAGGAGCTGCACATCGACGATCTGCAGTCGCACTACCGATCGCACCCGATACACATACAAAAATGCCACTGATCGCTATGCCCACAACGACACGACCCAAGACCCGTCTGATTGTGTGGAGTACGATGAATCCATACCACCACTTTCTGCACGGACCCGCACGAGCCGGGAGGCTGGGCGAGGGCACTCCGACCAGGTCTAAGGCTACAGGGCTGGTGGCAGAGGGTTTCCGGACCGATGCATCAGGAAGGAATGCAACCATCCATCCGCATTGACCATCCTTGACCGTTGGGCCGCGCGGGACTCTCAATCGGCGGAGGCCCCGATCCCGATTCTGGAAGGCCGCAGGGAAAGTGACCTAGCACAGATACAGAGGGGCCAAAGCGCCACCATTCTGCTAGAAGAAAATGGGGGCAGGCAGTGAGGATTGCGAGAGCGCTGTTCAGGTCGTCGACAGGGGCAATATGCGGAATCACATGTTGCGCATCCGCTTCCACGGGGGTGCACGGGTGTATTGCCTATGATGGGGCGCGTCTACCATGGCAGCACCCCGTATAGGGCCCCTGTGGCGCACTGTGGGGGCCCTGGGGACCTGTTGTGAGCATGAAAAACGTTGGAAAAATGGCCAGGCTACCAGGATGTTTGCTCAGACCGCTAGATTCGTCAATTCTGACCAGCTTTAGGACCCTGAGGTATTAATATGATCAGCCCACATAATCAGTATGTAATGTAATATATATGCAATATGTGTGCAGTATGTGCTATATTTTTTGAGAGGATTTTTGCAAAAAATATCAGCTCAATCGATTAATTATGGACCAAGATAGAGCGGCATTGTTCAATTTCTGCGATCCACTATGAGCTGATCAAGATAGCTCGATGTGGCTTTAGATGTGGGACTTATTCCAATTTGATATGGGGTTAGTCTATTAGCAACTAGTCAAATTTGATGTGATTTGGCCCATTAACAAAGATGTTATGATGATTCACCGGATCACAAGGGATGGGTTCATGCAGGGCATGTCCCACTCACATGGTCAATAGGAGCATGTGTGAATCGGGCGAGGTGGACGTTTGCTAGCTTTGTATGCCCTAACATGTCGATTTGAGATAACTCAAGACCTTCTTTGGCCGCCAATATGGCTATTCAGAGGAATTGCAAAGGCCTGCCCAGGATTGATGACCTCAATGCCAAGATCACCGACTTAAGAATGGTCATGATGCTCAGAAGCACCTTCTGGGTGGAGATGAGTATGTGGTGAAGCAAGGAGCGTGTTTGGGACGAAGTGTGGGTGGCTGCAAAGCAGATGATGTATACTTAGTTGAATGGGCGAAGGCTTAGGCGAGAGATGAATTGATTGAAGTGGCAGCTAAAACTCCCAAGATGTAGTTTAGGCAGTTCCTTGTTGGAATGGAAAGCATTCAGAACAATGACATTGAGCTAGCAGCAAATCAAGCCAAAGATATGGTTGCAAAGTTATGGAAACCATTGTGGAGGGCTTCGAAGCCACCCTGATGCAGTTTACAAGGGATTTTGCTACTCAAAATTTGTGAAGTCCAAAACGAGCAATGCTAGTGACTCATGAGAAGAAATGTAAGCTTGAAGGTGAAGTCAACGAGGAGGCTTTCAAAATCAAAAGGATGCATGTCTCAAGGACTGTATAAAGAAATTCATTGTTTTGGACAACCAGTAAGAGGCTCATGCAATTGGAAGACCTCAAGATCAGTTGTGATAGCGAATGGGATAGTTTGGAAGTTATTCAAACCCAAGAAGACTATTTCCAATAGGTGTTGGGACCGCTAGCCTAGCGGTCAATTATTGGGAGCATGATGATGCAGGTTGATCGCATGGGATTGGCTTTAAGTTAGCTTTGAGCCATAGATGGACAAAAGCATAACCCCTCTGAAGATGCTCTGAGGTACTTGGGGGCTGGTGTTGTGGGTTTGGAGCGGGTGATAGGGGTACATGAAGTTATGACATTTCTTGAGCCATGAGTATATCTACAAAGATTCATTGGATGTTGTTATAACAATAGCATGACATGAGCTTAGCAACATGATATGAAGAAACGTCATTGGAACAGGTTATAGTAAGAGATTCCGAACATCTTGGTTGAAAAGATAATTCAGAAAATCATTGGATTCTGATTCTAGAATATTTCATGATGTTGGGTAGCAGGGTTGCTATAAGAATGCATATAGTGCTTTGTGGGGCTATAACACTGATTGAATTGTTTGGGAAACAATGCTATGGAGTGTAACGTGGACAAGAAGAGTGTGTTAGGGTGCCAAAATAAGCATGAACCATGATATTTTGAGGTTGTGAGCCATGCACATTGAGAGGTGAATCCTGTTGCGCGAATTCGACTGAGTGCCATAAGATTCGATTGCACAATGGCACTGGGCTATAGCACCATATGTGAGGATTTTGCTTTGCAATAGTTGGAATCTATTTGCAAGTCAATCTATGATTAATGGAATTGTCCGGAGCAAGTACCTGATGTGATCTTGAAGTTGATGAATGCTTTGACTGATGAGCCATACAAATTCTGCCTATTTAGGTATGATCAAGATGCATATTCTATCCATGTTATGGCATATCATAATTATATGGTTCTATGTGGAGGGATCCCCTATTATCCCGGATAATCTGGGGTGAGCGGATAATGCTATATATATCTCCATATCAAGAAGCAACACTCATGTTGATACCCTTTTTGAGTGCGCAATGATATTGATAGAACATTATGTTCTTGTATGATACAAAAAACATGGCAGAACGTCAATGGTTCTCTGCACTCAATGAAGTGGTTCTGCATAAAAAAATAAATCGAAATCAAGAAAGAGCAATGTGGCAAATAGGCAATCAGATTGTGGGAGCTATTGAGCCCGAACTATTGTGGCCCCGTTGGCAGCCGCTGGTTTCCGGAGTCGTTAGGGTCACCCTGCCCTGCAACATGGCTGTTGGAGGTCAGCTGGCTTCTGCACCTTGGACGGTGGGCGTATCCGTTGTAATCATTTCTGTTGTCACGTGGCAGGCCCAATGCTCAACGAGGATCGATTTCTGGGGCCTGCTATTAGCGAGAGGGGGCGGCGCAGTGCGGTGGTGGTTCGCTGGCTCGCGGGAGGCCAAAGAGTGGGCCATGAATGCAATTACAGGATTCACAACATGCGCGCACACATATCGCATATGCGATGCCCAATCGCAGATTCATCATGGTCACATCAAGACAAGACAACACAATGCACGTCCAGGCACATTGTCACCATCCACCATTCACCCACGATCGACCAATTGTCCTCTAATTCCAAGTATCTAGTACCCGACCCCCTGGCCCTAAGTATTACAACTTTAGGAGGTCATATCTTCGCCATTTCTTAACGAAATCGAGCGTTTTAAAGTGCGTTGGAACCAGAAAGCTCTAAATAACACTTGCAAAAGGCGGTTTTGCCAATTATATAATTTATGCTCTAGAAAATGTCAATAACTGTCTAACCCCAAGTAACCACACTATATGAACAACCCTGCTGAAGCGTGAATGCAACTAACATAGGCAAAAGGACCAACGTATGTCAAAGCTTGGTGAAAGCTTGTCAACATTGGAGGTCGAAGCTTGGAGGAATTTTACTTCAGAAAACAGAAGATTGATGAGAGAGCAAGTGCCCTCGTCCAGGAATGGATAAGGGGATGGCCTTCCCCAAAGATTCTAGGGTATCGTGCAATTTCCAAACCAAATGCTTCATCCTTCCATAGCACCGTGAACTCCCTTTCAAGACAAATTAATGCAAGAAAATACTATAAAATACTGAGCTTTACATCAATTTTCCCCAAAACAGAGCTCGTGGACTAATATCTTTGATGAGGGTATGCTGGCGAGCTCTATGATCAATGGAGAAAATTCATTTATTAGTAAATATAGTTGAAATCTTTAGACCATAAGGTCGTTCTAGCTCCCAATGGTACTAGGGGTAATGATACTAAAACGTTCAGTGAACTTTGGGTCGATTCATGCAATTGGAATTCAATGGTATTTGAGTATGAAGCAAGAAATGGGAACAATCTATAAAAATGCTTTTGCGTTGCATGGAAATGTTGATGGATCATATTTGAGTTAATGGTCGACGCATCTTTTTGATCAATGGCGGTACAACCAGCCTTATGGGAGGCTTTGTGTCTATTGTTGTTTGGATATGCTGAGACAAGGGTTCCATAAGGGATAACAAAAACTTATATGCATTGTGAGTGATGAGCAAGTGATGGCGTTGGCTGTGAAAAATAGCTTGGTAATGATATACAAGTATGGGATGTAATAGATTACACGAGTGCATTAGTAATAACCTGAAAGCGCGGTGACCACTCGTTTCCAGACTGTAACCCGTTCTCTTGCCCACTCGCACCAACCTGCGGCTGCACCCGCAGGCCTCATGGTGCCACGCACCCAGTGCGTGCACAGCTGGGGCCCTGCGCCCGGCCATCCCTGCGGCCTGGGCCCATGCTGCCAACCCGAGGAAACGAGCGCATTGGTAAAGCCCACCGGCGATCCGGTGGAGGAGGCCCCACAGGCCTCATCGTGTGCCTCGGCAAGTGCTGCATCCAAACCGAAAACCATGCCAAGTGACTTGCGGTGATTTGTAAATGGCTTGATGAGATCCAATGTCGGGCGTATTCTATTTCAAGCGTTGTGGCTGCTTTGGAGCAGCCTCAACTGAGGTTGGCAGGAATGCATGGGCGCTGGTGTGCGGACAAGGAGGCGGCGCTGAGCAGTTGTAGCGACTCTTTGGCTGCAAGTTTCTGTGAGCAGCCAAGGGCTCCCCCCAAGGGGTCGAGGTCAATCGCTTGGCCTGGCTGTGATCGTGCAGTGAGTCGTCGTACGTGGCGACTGATTGCGGCTGGAATCTGGCGGGCGTTTTGTAGGCCCAGCCTCCCAGCGAATTTCCCTGCCGGTCTCTCAGCGTGGATCGAGCGGCGACCTTCGTTGTGGTGCCAATCGCCGGATTCGCTGCCTTAATCGTTTCATTCTATGTGCGATCGCGCTCCAAAATTCTGGGTGACCAGCCCATCGACGTCATCATCAAAATCCATGGACTACATTTGTCGCAAAATGACAAAACACAGCCCGTGCACCTGGTAGGCGATGATGGGCGTGAAAACCATCGACGTGGAATCGTGAACACTGATTGCAAAAACATTTTGCGGCTCTCTGCTGATTGAGCCAAGCGTGTGAAGGGCGAACTCGATGACTTTTGTCCGGGGCGCAATGTAGGTGGTTTGACATGATGTCAGAGCCGGCTTATCAAAGTACTGTTGGTCTTTAAGCACGTCCGCGTTGGGAAATTTAACCGTTATGCTGTTTGCTCCACACGTTATTTCCAAAGCGTTATTTTGTTATCTCCACGCTGCTCCGCACAAATTTACTGAAAGAGCGTTATTTAATTTATTGTTTTCTCCAAAAAAAGGCCGAGCGTTATGTTACTATGCGAAAGGGCTTAAAAAGCAGCAGTAGTGTTGAAAGTGGTTTGTGATGCCGGTGGCGGCATGGTTGGCACCCTACAAGCATCGCAGCGGCCCATCATCCGCTCATTGCAGCATGCATTCATGCCATGGAGATTGGCATGAGGTGGGTGCAGGCTTCCGTGTGGCTGTGCAAAACGATGCGCATGGTGAATCCCATCGCTCTCCACCACTTCCTAAATCCCCATTCGGCTGCCATGATTCGCCGTCCTACGATCGCCCTGCCATGATTCACCTGCATTGCGCGTTGCTCTGCACTTTGCTCCCGTCAGCTGCACATCAAGCGCACACGCGCATTTTCATCGCAACTTTTGCGGGTCAGGCATGCATAATCCGTGGCTTGCCATTGCCTTGTCTTGCCCTTGCCTTTCTCAACGCAAACTGTCTTCATCGTGGCCGTGCGCGTGGGGAATGTTGCCACGGATGGACGATTGTGATTGTATGGGAAAGACGCCGTTGGCTTCGATTGGACGCCAGGCCCGTGGCATTCTAATTGCCAGCGCTGGCAACACCCCGTAAGGCTGGGGCGGAATGGACCCAGTGGCTCCATCATGTCATCAGTATGAGACCAAGAAGCCGCCAATTCCCTGTACACTTCCCTGAATCGTGCGATAGAATGGCCGTGCGCACCCAGGGACGGAGACAGGCGGGACTAGGTGGGCTCGCGCCGAACACATGTGGCATGTAGGGAAGCTGCGTTGTCACCGCGCACTTCTGGATCGCATCAGTCGATGCAGCATCGTCAGAGGCTTGCATGTTGCCCAAATGTCCGATACCACTCATTTCCAGAAGATCACGTGGGTTATGACGCTCATTTCGATTTTTCCTTTCCTAGGGCTTTGGGTTATGGGGGTCCCCGCATCCTCCATGACGCCTGCATGACGTTCATATCTGAGGTATATTTATGTTCTACATATTCAGGACAAGGACACCGTATGACGATGATAGAACGTGCGCCAAACAGAACAGCATTGCGGCCTCGCAGCTATGTTTTGCTGATCATTGCTCATCAGTGTTTGCGGCCAGCCTGGCGCCCTCAGATGTTGAACTTCTGCGTGCTGCATGTGTGGCCACTCGGCCACCGAGGCACGTCAAACGGACAGCGATGGTGGCCGTGCGCATAGCAACAGTACCATCAGACAGCAACAGTATCACCTGCCGGAAGTGCACCAAGCAAGCGTACAACCGGAAGCTACACAACAACATTTCATTTGCACTCTTTTACAGAAAGAAGAAAGAGGACCAATCCCATTTCCATCACTGCCGCCATCGCCGCTGTTCTGTTCGATAGCTAGCCGCAACTGCCATGAAATCACGAGCTCAAACCCACAGCAATGCTGGCATGAAAGCAGGCAGACCAGACGGTCGCTACAGTTCCGTGATTGCGGTTCTAGCAACAGCTAACCTACCCCACCAATGCTACCTCCTACATCCGAAGCTGCTTCAATTGTGAGGCACTCATTTCCCCCATGATACAACCATTCCGAGCCAGCCCAAGATCAAATGCACGTTGACCTGGAGCATCGCAAATTTGGCTCAATTGCTCTGCTCCCACGCGCCATTCATCCCGCTGGAACAGTCCCCACACATTCCCTTTCCCATGGCATCCTTGTCGTGGACTCCGCAGCCATCTAAACCGATGGCCGAATTTTCGCCGTGCCAAAAGTGGCATCACGTGCTGCTGGCAATGCCAGGGATCAAGCTGGAGGCAGTTTTACGCTCCTGCTCCTCACCATTGCTGGACACAACACCATTCACAAAAACAATCTGAATAATGAGGCCGAGCAGCCAACAGCCCTTACTGCTATTCACCAGTGGAACCTCCAGCAACAAGGGCAATGCAGAACCCAACCGATAAACACTCGTGCACTCCTTTCCCCATTGTCCAGTGTGCGGGGGCCATCGTCAGCCACACGCATGTCCAGTCCGTCATTCAAAAAGCAGTGAGTGGCGTTGGCTGTTCCCTGAGCGAACAGCTGCAGTTGCCAACCCCGTTTCCAACCCATACTGGGCCACACCAGCATGCACTGAAAGAAGCACAAAACTGTTGGAAATGCATATGAATTATGCATGCCACACTCCAAAACGCGGCCTTTGCAATCACACCCCTTTGAGCATGCCCATCCCTTAGGCCACACACCGACTAAAGCCTTTAAAACTCAAATCCCCATGCAGCATGCCCATTCATAAGGCATGGACAAGCTCGTTTCCAAACACGTCCTCCCAGCTGCCCATTCTTTCTGCCCTCTGCGCATTTCACAATAACTATCCACTAAATCCAATCACTAAACGTCTACCACCAGTCCCTATCCACCAGCAGCATAGGTCTGTCGCCAGGCTCCCTTCAGGTCAAGTCAGCCAAATACAGTCCACCCACCAGGCCATCGCCGACCCACATCATCTTTTCACAGCATGGAGATTACTCTCTTACCAACTTGCTCACGAGGGGGTGCCCTTTGTATGGCCTGTCTTTGGAATGTGACAACCTTACCCCACCACCACTCCAGCGATACAGCAAGCTGCCGATCCCCACTGACGTTCTCCAGCAAGTGCGACACTTTTCAGTGCATGGCAGTGCAACCAACACGCCTTCGGCACCCTGGCCACTACTTCGTCCCTGACACTCTCTCCCTGGCTGGTGCAATGACAGCACACTAGCTCATTCAAACTCTCATCGCATCAAAGGCAGTGTGTCTGGGGTGTGACTGCAAGTAGGGCAGTGGGTCCTCAGGTTCAGCTTGGCAGTGCCGGGCCCTGTGGATGAGGTGCATGTCCTGGGTTGGGTTGCACAGGCCCATGCAGTCCTTCTGCATGACGCCAATGGCTGCGTCCGAGCATTCCTCAACACACAGCCGCATGTCCTCAAAGTATGTCACGTTGTGCCCCAGCATCCACGTCCCCACAGATACCTCTGCCAAGGCAGCACACAGGCCACTTAGCACAGTGCGGGTGCAGAAAAGGCCAACTGCTGGACAAGGACAGCACTGTGATTCTTTTGGTTTCGCAACGTCCCTCAGTTGGCACAGACAAACCTCGCAATACAAAGAAAGTGCAATGAGAGTGGAGGAGAAATGACCTCAACGAGTTTGAACGACTCTGATTGAGTTCCAAATATTGCATACCTGTTGGTATCATGATAGAAAAACAACTGCCCCGGGCCCCGCCTCTGCTCACCCATTCCCAAACGTGTCCCTTCTTTTCACAGACTGGCCAGTTGTTGTTATTGAATTGAACTGTATTGAATTGAAACCTCACTGCTGATAACTGTCACATTCATCTATGCGCTGACAAGTCACCAGCACAGCTTGAGGAAAGAAAGTGATTCTGAGCACCAAATCAAAAACAGAGCAAGGGCTGCAGCCAAAACCAATCGCTCAACACAGGCTAACCAAGTCAGACAGTGCCACACACGATCTGCAGACACTAACAGCAATGCAGGCTCTGTGAACAGGGCAAGCATCCCTCCTTGCACAAAGAAACAGAGTGCTGCCTGCCCACCCAGATGCATGCAATACCAGCCTGCGCAGCTGGAAATTGAGTGTCTGCAAGAGGACCCTTGACGCTAAACTGAATCCGTGCGTGAGCACATGGACACATGCTTTGTGATGCGAGATACCCATCGTTTTTCACCACCCTTTTGGCAAAGCCCAATAGGCACATCTCTACAACAACATTTCATCCATTCCCCTCAACTTGTACAACATGGGCACACAGATTACAGACGTACATTTTGCAAGAGCATCAACAACATTAATTGGGCCACAGCACAAATTCCCACAGTGAGAACACATCTCTCCATCTCTCTTTCCTGGAATTTCCTTTGCCCAGAGGCAAAACGCAATTCAAACAGACTTTTTGGATGCATGCAACAAGTCAACAGCAACCTTGATCAGCCAAGGGCACTAGATTGTGATATTCTGTGCCATGGAATTAAACATGACTCTCTCATTCCACATGCCTTGGGTAGCTGGACAGTGGATCCAGTCATCGACAAGGCTGAAAGACAGACATTGGTGTACTTGGGTGGGGTTAGGAGTGAACAAGTATTGGAGTGTCCCTGGGTTGTCTTTCGGGCATCTACGCACTTTGTCATCTCTGAGGATGTGGGTTTTGGGGTGCTCTGCTTGCCAAGCACTGTGGCTCCTTGTAGCTTGAGAGGAATACTGTTGCCATCTGATGACAGTATTAGCATGTCTGAGCTGAGAAGAAACACATACTATGACCAGCACATCTTCTCCCACATTGCAGGTGACAATCAATGATTCGGTATCTTCACCATCACGCCAATGATTTTGGGTGGGTTTGGGGGGTGGAGGGTGGGGAATACGGCAGAGGGGGCTAGCTGGAAGTGATCACTATGCCCGGCCCTGTTGGTTTCGTCCTCTGCACACTGGCTTGAACAGTGTGAAACGCGCAACATTAGCCAAGTGCCATGAAGTGCCAGGAGGGGCGAGCCCAGCATGACATTGGCTCATTCTGTCAAGGTTGCACGCACTCACCTTCACTGGCAAAGAGCCTCAGGTTGTCCACGTTTCGTGCAATGACATTTGTGGCAACCTCTCCAGAAGTGACATAGAGGGTCCCATAGGCGTGCATGAAGTACTGCCTCCCAAGCAGTAGGTGCTGTGGTTCGAACCATTGTGTGCTGAGGTCGTTCCAAACCCAGCCGTTTTGCATGCATCCAATGTAGCCTGCGGCGCATATGCATGCACAAATCCATCAATGTGGGATCCTCCCTTGGTTTCCATTTTTCTTTTGGCTGGATCTGTTTTAGCTAAACCAATCATAGACTACAATGTTTACTCTAGCCACTTCAATACATTAGCTACCTTGTACCATTTATGCACACTATCAGTTCGGACTCCTAATGTGTTTACTTCATGCTGGCTTGGTTTTAGGACAGTGCTGGTTCCCACAACTTTATTGCCTCTAAAAACTGACGCCAGCTTACAACAACATTGGCACTGCCCCACTGAGCCTTGGTCGCACAAGAACATGCAAGGATTGAACAAACTGTCTGCCTTCCCATGCTCGTTGACTGCACAACAGGGCTGTGAGATGCTGGACTGCCCAAACTCTTGGATATAAGCTGGGTTTCTTTTCCTCCCATCTGTCAAATGATGCCCTTACACATCGCGGGCGCGGACAGGTTGCTGGGCATCAACGCCCGAGGCTGTGGCTTCAACTATGAGGCCCATTGGGGCTTGGGGCTCAAGACATTGAACGCAATTCCACTACAACAAGGCCCCACGACAAAGCAAGGGAGCCCTCAAAAAGGATACATTCAACATCAGTAAAACTCGCTAAGTGCCAATTTATTATGCCAGCAAATTACCATCAGGACAGTGACATTCAAAAATAAGCCAAATCCAGTATTGTAAGAGTTCAAGGCAGCGCCTCAAGCCTCGCCTAGTCAATCCTTACCCGCACGCATTCTCGCCCACTGATTGGATGCCAATAACAGGCGATCCACCATAAGGTACATGTCATCATCCACCTTGGCGATCCAGTCAGGGCTGTACTGAGACATGACAGCTGCGAAGAAGTTCTTTGCCTTCTCAGGAAGCCCAGAACTGGATTCCTGCAAAACAAACAGATGGGCGATAGCGCATTTTCCCAAGTGTGAGCTGCGCCAGTTGCTGGCCACAGGACTGGTGCAACTTATTGAGATTTGTAATGTTGGCACACAAGTGCTGGCCACTGTGGACACATGTCAGCAAGCAGAGCTTAGATATTCACACTGCTGCAAGAGCCAAACGGCAAAGGGATGAGCTTGCCACAAGTGGTGCAGCACCCCAATTTGTGCCCTCCAATCTCACAGCTCTTGCAATGCATGTGCAGATGTTGTAGCCAGATCATCCTTTCTGTCCTGCCATTTTCTTCAAGTTGACAAGAGACCAACAAGAATTCTCGCTTGGAAGGCAGAACATCCACAACATGTCATGTTCTACTTGCAGTGTGCTTTGCACCCTGGCCCGATCTGTCAACCACACGAGATATCTCCTGTCTTTTCAGTTGCATGAATTCCTCTCCATTGTGTGGGTATGCATTAAGAATATCTACACGTGGAGGGTGCACAGCTGGAAAGGTGGATCTAATGCAAACTCAGTAACAACTGCAAACATAAGGCACAGCAGATCTGTTGAGATGTGGCTGGCATCCAGAGGGGGACCGCGTATATTTTACTCCGTACCAAGTAACACTGAATCTGGTACCAAACTGCCACTGTACCAAATAAAATTGAAACTAGTACCAACGCATATTGAATCTTGGAACAAATTTGCTCCGGTACCAAAAATGTTCAATGGTGTACCAAAAAATGTTGAATCAGTACCAATTAGTCACCGAATGGCAGTCTGCGACCAGCCCTGTGACCAGCATGGGGCTTGCGCTTGGTTTAGAGTTTAGGGTTTTAGGGTTCATGAGCCCTTACGACGGCGATTTGATGACTAGTTGGTATTGGTTTAACATTTCTTGGTACGCTGTTCAACATTTTTGGTACCGGCGCGCATTTGGTATCAGATTCAATATTATTTGGTATGGAGCTAAATAGGTTCCCATCTGGGCTCCTGCATGTGATGCAACATATTAGAATCAAAGGAAAAAGGGGCAAAGAGCAAGGCAAGAAAGGGCCATAACATACCAAAACAGACAACCTCATAATATCCCCATGCTCTGCTGCCTCTTCCGATATTTGTTCTTCAAGGATCTGGTCATCGATCTGGCCGATGACAAAGCGCATGACAACCCCCTTCTCCCTCTCCAACCTGGCAGCAAGGTGCCAAAGGCAGATGTCATGAGCTCGATTGCCCAAATCCGGCCAGGATTTCTCAGCTGGAAACTTCAACAGCCAGTGAAACTTCAGGCACCAAAGGCGATTCACGCATGACATTATGAATCAGCAAACCGTGCATGGCACACTGCACGGCAACCCATAATGCAACATGTTGCACTCAGTGTACACCGAAGGTGCAGCAATTTGCCAAGCAGGTAGCAGCAGCTTGGCAACCAGGCCACATTCGTCGCTGCTGCAAGTGACCCCGTGCTGCATGCTGTCCCTGCCTTGGAAGGAGAATCTGCTGCAGTACAAAACAAAACCTTGCACAGTTTCGTTGTTCAGGGTGGTTGTGCTCCTCGTATTACATTGTTTCCTGCCTGAAGCAAACATTTGCTTTCGTCTCTAACCTGTCCAGCTCCTCCTTGCTTGATGGGAACCACGTGTCACGTATGGCTTCCCTCCTTTTTCCATGGTCGGCCTTTATGGTTGGGTCAGCACCATTGGTTTCACTCTGCAGGTCCACAAGACCAGTCACCAGTGCTCCAAACACATAGGCATGATTAGCGGTTCATGAAGGCAACGGTTTCGAGTTTGCACGTGAGCATGTCAGCATAGTGCACAGCACTGCCGTAGTGTCTTCCAAAGCGAGTAAAACTGCCCTCAGCATCCGTTCCGTCTCATGCTTGACTTGTGAACACACCAAACACACAGCTTTGCAAAAGAAATGTCAAACCTCTCGGCTCTTGCCAGTTTGCAACGTCAGTGAAACACTGTCTGTTCGCTTCGGTTCACTCTGACATGCTTCGGGACCACTCCAGGCACAAGCTGTGCGGTTGCCAATAACGGTGCTCTTCGCATGGTAGGTTCAATGTCAGGCGCTAGCTGATGCACACAAGCAGAGCTCTGCCAGGTTTGCAAGCTAAACTCAGGTGGCAACTGCTGCAACAAGAATGGATGAGTGAGTCGATGCACACAGAGGATGACGAGGGCCAAAGTCCAACATTGGTGTATGGGGGTGGCTTGAGGCCAACATTTGGGAGTGGAAGGCACCCGGCACGGTTTCAATGCTTCGCAGCTCTGTGTCCATGCTGCAGGCTACTTTCTGAAATTGTAGAATCTGTTACAGCAGTTTGGGTCTGGGTGCCCTGTCACATGAACTTGTGAATCTAGACCGCAGTGTCAGCAACAAGGCTGCCGCACTGATTGGATGCCATACACTGCGCAGCCCTGGTTGTTTTAGATGGCCTTTGGGGCTGTTGGGCTCTGTTGTTGTACATCATGCTATACCTCAATTTGCTTTGCTGACAGGATGATTTAAGTTATCGGAAAAATGGATGGTGTCATTATATTCGGTTCCCATATGACGCACTCTCGCCATCATCATTTCAGTGGGAACACACCGCATGACCACCATCTTTCACCAGAAGTTGGGTGCAATAGTGCAATCAATCGTTCAGTCTTGTATGATGCCTGGGCAGTTTGGTTGACATTGAATGATTCGAAAGAGCAGACTCAGACAGCCCAACCAGGGTCCCGAAGGGAACGATGAAACCTCCTCTGGGAACGTGACGTCCGTCCGTCTGCCCTCCCATCACCAGACCCTTTGCCGGGCTTCGCTGAATCATGCTCGTGCTTCAATTCGACACGCGACAGCGCATCACAACACGCAAATGCAAATGCAAACACCGCCAAACAGCTCCCGGCGCGCGCACCACACCCAGCTCGTCCCTCTACTGATTCACTCACAAAAACGCCGATGAACATCCGGATCTCCTTCCCGCCGGGCGCTCCCCGCTCCCGTCCGCCCGCCTCCCGCATGCCCCCCGCCGCCTGCCCCTCCGCCGTGCTGAGCCCCTGCCCCTTAACCGCCATCCTCCCTTCCCCCCCCCACTCGGGCACGCTCCGCTCCACCTCGCCCAGGAACGCATTCAGCTGCCCGCGCAACCCCACGAGGACATTAGTCACCGCCGACGCCTCCCCGGCCCTCCGGCCGGCCAGCAGGGCATCCAGCTTTCGATCGACGTCTCGCAGGCCGGCGAGGATCGCGTCGCTGGATGCGGAGCCGTCGCGATCGGGTGGCGGGGCGGGGCACAGCAGGGATCGCTGCCACGAGATGCAGAGGTGGATGGCGAGCGTGGCTGCGAGCAGGAGGAGGGTAAAAGGGGCGAGGGGGGGGGAAGTGGGCAGGGGCCGCGAAGGCCCCATGCTGAGGAGGGGGGGGACGGGGGTGGGAGGCTCCCGACTTGGGAGCCGTGGAGGGAGGTGGTCGCCTTGGAGGACGAGGTGGCTGTTTCGTGGGGTGGGGGTGGGCCGTGGTGACGATATGCTCTGTGTGAACTCCGGTGAGGGAAACACGGGACAGATTGAATTACACAGTCGTCGTCATCGTCCTTGTGGCGTTGTGCGTGGGTGTGCGGGTGCTCGTACACTCTGTTGGTGTTATGCATTAGATTTCATTGAACTGATCATGGACTTTGCTTTGCTCAGACACAATAGGGAGCTGACGGCTACCGCCTTGCATTGTTAGGTCGAACGAATAATGGTGAATGCTCATTCCCACACGGACTCCCACAGGTGCAAAGGACGTGCTGCAAAGGACGGACTACAGAATGCATTGTCTGCTCATTTACGCAACATTGAATTGAACACTGAATCATTGTTATTTCCTCAACACCGTACGTTGCCTCTCTGCTCACCGTTAATGCTCCATAGCTTTTCACCATCTTCACCATATGTGCCATGCTCACTTTATTCACCATATATTTTGTCAACTCGTCGTCAGAATCATGAATTCTACAGAGCAAGGCGAAGAGATAGCCGTGAGCCCCCCATTGCCCTGGTTCCCTAAAGCCAGTTTGCATGCATGATTGAACACTGTCGCCAAGATGTCCATGAGTGCATTTGTTCATTTGATGCCCACATTGCGGACGATTAAGTGGATGTTGGGGCAGGGGATCGATGTGGGTGCCTCTGGGGTGGAGTGCCACCGCTCAATCGGGCTACCTCGCCAGGGGGCAAGGGAGACGGCAGTCCGAATCCTCGACTACCATTCCACTCAGCTGGGGAGCCCTCCATAAGTACTCCACAACAGCTGGAGATGTGGTTTAGTGCTGTGGGAGGGAGCTGGGAATGGAAAGATTGAATTACTGAGTGGTGCTGCCAGTGTCCATATTTGCATTGTGCGATATCATCCAGATGAACGATGTCCATATGTTCAGTTGCTCGCTTAATGTCCACAGTGCAGACGGTCAAGCAGATGCCAGGACTGGGGATCGACACGGGTCTCTGCAGTGGAATGTCCCACACTCTCTGCCGAACAACCTGGACGGGGGCAAGGTAGATGGCTGCACAATGCATTGGGTTATCATTCCAGCCAACGGGATGGGAGAGGGAAATCGGACCCTAGGTCAGCCAACTACAGGGGAGCAATAAACGTTGTACTATGTTTGTGCACAGCTGTTGATGTACACATTGCTTACTGTACACTGCTGTGATTGATGCATGTTGCCAGTGGTAGTACATTGATGTTGCAGGCCTTTGCTGAATCTGCCGTACTTTGGCTGTTCAAATTGGGGCGCAGGGTAGCCTAACCGCCCTTACGTCAGTCGCAAATTGACTTTTGGACAAATGACGACGTTTACGGAGAGAAAAACACTTACAGCGCACGGATTGCACAAAATATAGTGGCCAATACCAGGATCCAGAAAAAGGCGTGTCGAAAGGCTTTGAAAACCGCCATTATCTCCTCCGAAAGCTGCCAAGCGCGCGCCAGGCAACTTCTGTTGTTTGACCAACAATTTCCCACATCAACCTCCATTTCGCCGCGCTCCTCTCTCCATGACACCGCGGTTTTCTGCACAGCTCCTTTCTGGCAGCGCTGGGCAATCACTGGGAAGAAAAGGGCCGAATAACACGTGTCCAAACGTGCGCGAAGTTTACGGGTTTGGGTTATTTTTGTGTCCTTAGCGTGCAGAAATTTGGTGAAATATCTTTTATGTGTGTTCGCAAAAGTGTTATCTGGTCCTTTTTTTGCAAGTGACTGGCGGTTGCTCCTTCAGTTCACTTACTCAAGAATGCCACCAGAAACTGAGCATGCGATATGGTCGTTTCGAAGCGCCCTGTGATGTCGTGGGAGACAGTGATGCGAGGCTCGCGAAACACCGTCAACGGGAATGATTTTCGGCCCTCTCCCACAGGCCTCCATCCGCCTGTCCGCCAGCCAGAAGGGCAGCGCCTCGCGCACCGCGCCTTCGAAGGCGCAAGGAATTCCTGCAGCTGGCCCAACCCAGCACCGCTTTCTGGAGCCGGTGGCGCGACGTCATGCTCACCTTCTGCAGGGTCGCCATGTGGTTCATGCCCTTGCGCCTGGCGCTCGGCACCTCCATCCTGCAGCTCCCCACGTCCCTGGAGGTGGCCACCCCCCCTCGTCAATCTTGCGCTCTTCGTGGACGCCGTCATGGTGCTGTTCTCAAAGGTGGGCGTGGCCCAACGTTGGGGGCCCCGGTCGGAAATCGGCTGATCAAAATTTCCATGCTCTTTGGCGCAAGAAATAGTTCAATGCGCTTTCACCTTGAGGCAGGCGCCGGCTTGGCCGATTGCACAAATGTCGTCGACAGTGCAGAGATGTTCTTCCTGTTTCCTGGCACTGCTCACAGCTGCGCCGCTATTCATGATTGAATGGCCATTTCGCAGTTTGTAGGTGTGCTGAAGTGCACCAAATCGTGCCACCCTTACCGCACCCTTACGGTGCCATCAACCTTCGGCGCTTGCTGCCGCAGTGTCGAGCGCGCGTATACGTACAGACATTTCCGCTCCCAATTCCCCGCAGTTCGCGGCTATTGTACATCGTTTGCCTTCATTGGCTGCGGTAATGTTGGGAAAACACTCTGGACAAACCATGGATGGGGCGTGGCTTGCAAAGTTGAAACCTTGTATGAAAGGGATCCCGATTTGATGGAAAGACTCTCTCTCCGCAGATCGCTGCCCACACGTTGGAGGGCGGCGAACCACAGAGGCTGCCCCGGCGCTGAGGGCCAGTCATCCAAAACCACGCCAAGGTGCAAGGCCAACGACGTCAGTACCCTGCGCGTGCTCTTCGAGAACAGCGTGGAACCACCAACGTGGACGAGAGCACGAGCCTACACGTGGCCACAAGCTGCGGCAGCCTGGAGGCGGCGTCCTACCTGTTGGTGATCTGGGGCCTGGACGCAAACGCACTGGACTGCCGCGAAGCCATGCCTTACAAGGACGCGGTGAGGGAGGCCGCAGGTGGTCAGGGCACTGCAGGGGCGCTACCATGCACGAGGACAAGGAACACACGCAGGTGACAAAGGGAATTCCCTTTCGAGAGGCGGTGATAGTTTTGTGGCAATTGTGATTTTGAAGCAGAATACATCGGGTTTGCGATGCCAACTGCGATACCGTTTGACACTAATTGATACCATCACAGCCACTTTTATTCCATCGCAATCACTGCGATGGCGCCAATTTGTGTCAAAATGGCATCGCATCTGGCATCGCAAACACGGCGTTTTCTGATAGTGGGTAAGGCGAAGTATCCTGTTGCTGATGGCTTAACAGTTGAAATAAAACGGAGTTATCCGAGCCGTAGAGCAGCAAATCGCGAAAGCGACAAGGTGCCGAAATGGGAAAAAAGCCCTGGATGGCGCACTCCCGCTTGCGCATAGTGACAACACTTGTGTTGGAAAAGCGCTCAAGCTTGAGGAAAGGCCTTGGTAGGAAAGACTCATGCACGAATGGGACACTGCGCCCATCGTCGCGGACAGTGTCCTGCTGCGAGAGTGCGGCGGACAGTGGCACGTCACTGCCACAAATTTGTGACACTGCGCAACTTTTTCTTTAAAGATGGCACAAAGACTGCCCGCGTCAGTCTCGAGGATGGCGTAAGTTATGTTGCGCGGCAGCGGCCCCTGGACACCCTAAACTGAGTGTCCGCGACACTTAATTTAGTGTCCGCGACGCGTCCGAAAAATCCCTGTTCCACGTAATGCATTTGTCCATTGGGTGTCTGCCACGTTTGTCACGTGCTTTTGTGCAAACGCTCCGTCTGTTTTTACAGCCGCAGCCCCTGCTGAACTAATGGAGAGGGAGCTGAAACCGTAATGCAGACAATACTTATTCTTTTGAAAACAAGAACACATTATTTTGCGTCTATGTGTACAAAGAGTGCTTTTTGCTTTCGAAGCGCTGCTTCAATTAGTTTTGGAAACAAAGACATAGTTGCTTTTTCAACATCTCAACGATGGTGTGCATTAGACGCCAAAAGGGCAACACCCGGGATCCAGGTATTTCAGAGAAGCTTGCGAGCTCTGATTATCAAGGAGGATGCCGACTTCTACCACATGCCAAGCCGAGAACGCTTCGAGATCACAGCCGTTTGCACAAAAAAATCTCTCTATGGGATTTTTGCCATTTCCACGTACAAATGCTTCTGCCTGCAGAAATTTGTTAACATGGTGATGCAAGAGACGAAAAAACGGAAGAAATCGGATACAAGTTCACCGCTTTCAAAAACTATGGGCATTGGCAATCTCTAAACAAGGGAGCAGTTTCCGCCCTCGCGAAGGCGACAGAAAACTCGGGAGCGACGTAAGAATCGCATGATGGACATTGGCGTGCAGAATTTAAAGTGTTAAGCATTGTATGAGCCTATGTTAACACCATATAAATGTATACTTCATGAGATAGCAAGCAATAACATATGATGTAGTTTGTTTATTGATTAACTAGTACGAATAAACATAATAGGTATTTGTGTACATGCTGAACATGTGTTGATTTGATGTGATGTTTAAGACGCCCAACTTCCATGTTTGATTCACAATTCGTGTTTAAATCACATCGCACAATAAATGTATTTTGCATTTCATAACATCACGTCTCCCACCCCGTCGTATTTCAATTTGGAACCGACAATGAGCGTTTTGGAGCACCGCATGTCGTTGAGCACAGGAGCAGCTGTAGTACATCGCTTCACTGTAGAACTTGTAGTGCCCCACTTCATTTCACTGCTGCTTATTATGGCTTCCCCGAGATTTGAAGTCCTGACTGTTGATGTGATTTCGCACCCATGCAGTGGACAGCAGCAAAGCCACAAGAAATGCCACATGTTTTAAATCCCACCTTCCATTATCGAACATGCGTACTGGCCGCCGCAGCTGAATGCACCATTTTATATTGCTTCA